ACAAATGTAATTTTGTTGTTGTAGTAGTAAAAGCACAAGTATGGACATCAGAGAGAATAAGATCAGCCTTAACTGTGATGCTCTTTATTGATGCATAGCTTAACACGAAGGCACGGTTGAAGACGAGGGTGTTGAGATGGGTCTTGAAGAAGGCAAGGGAGGGGGCGAGGCAGAGGGACTGCGGAATGGAGTTCCAGAGGGTGGGGGCAGAGTGGCTGAAGGCCCGGCCGCCAATGGTGGGGCGGGCGAGGCGGGGACATAAAGCAGGCCGGAAACTGTTGAGCGGAGTGAGTGGGCAACTTGCATTTATATAGCGCTCCTCCCACGGGGCAGGGTCTTAGAGAGCTTGCACATTTACAGGGATGATCCTGTTCACTATCTATTGGATCATCCCTCTCTAACCTTGGGAAATAGGTTAATTTTTCATACTCCACTCCAACTGAGACCAGCAAATGCGAAATAGCTTGGGAATTGAAAATAGCACGTTATTGTTCTATCTGTCCAGCTTTCCACTGCAATGATGCAGTTTCCACTTGAGCCATTGGGATAACTGTTAATTTTCAATAACTAAATCTTCATTATTGTAATAATAATAATAACCCTTGCATTTGATATAGCGCTTTTCATGTCTTCTAGATGTCTCAAAGCGCTTCACAGAATATACTGTAAAGTGAATTGACCGTATTTGTGGGAGAAACGCGGCAGCTAATTGCGCACAGCAGTGTCCCACAAACAATCGTGGATTGAGTGACCAAATTGTTATTTTTTTTGAGGGATTATTAGAGTAAGGAAACTTGCTCAAAAGGTTTTGCCCTGCTGGGAATCGAACCCAGGTGTCTCGCTTGCAAGGCGAGTGCTCTAACCACTGAGCTACAGGACTCCACTATGTTCAAGTTCCATTATTGAATATAGTGGAGTCCTATGTTCAATGTATTATCAATGCTTCTTTGTTTTCAGTAATTTGTTTGGATTCCGTGGATCTGTGGAAGAATTGCCACATTCTGAAGTTGGCTTACTTAAAAACCCATGTTAATGTGTTATACTGTAATGCTTCCTGTTTTGAGCAAGCTGTGTTTTTTCTATAATGTATTTTTACATCAGTTGTTGGATCTGTGAAACATTGGCCATTTGCTTAGGCCAAAGTTTGCTGATTATGTAAGCTATATAAATGTGTGTATCATTCAGAGAAATGTACATAAACATGAAAATTACTTTTGCTTATCAAAATCTTGAATTTTCTACAAAACACTGGTGGTGATTTGTTTTTCCCCAGAGGTAATCTACCCTTCCTTGTTACACTCTTGTTTGCTCATTCAATCTGGAATTTATGAAAACTTGTTGCAACAATCAAAGATGACTTCCATTTAGCTTACAACAGGAAAAACCTTTGTTTCTTTCAGATTGTGGTAAAATAATTGGTTTACTACAATGTTAGCATTTTCCCTGTAGAATTCCCTGTACAATCAAGAATCCCCTGTACAAACTGGTGTTACTTAATTAGAAGAGCATATTTATATTGGTCTTGAAGATTTATTTACAAATCCCTTATTTCTGTTGTCTGAGGATTTGAATTGAAAATACCAGTGATTTTTAAATCTTAGATACGGGTTAAATACTTCACGTTTGCTTTTTGTAGTTTTTTTTGTTCAATATTTGCAGGTAAGTAAGAGATAATTGATAGTTCTGAAAACTGAGGAAATGTCCAAGGATCAAACTCTGTGACAACTGTTCTCTGGGATTTTAAAATCAGTTGATTTCAGATGATTGTAATCTAAATGTAAGTATTATAATGTGGGCTTCAACCACTTTGTCTGAAGCTCTGGAACTCCCTGCGTCAATTCCTCTGTTTTGCCCCTTCTTTACTTGTCTTCAGATTACACCTGAACAGCTTTTTGACCATGCCCACGATATCCACCCTTTTCTCCTCGGATCGGCATCAGGCTACACCATTGTTCAGCGCTGTGAGACTCTACGTGAAGGAGTGAATAAATGCAAGTTGTTGAGTTTTCATATAAAGCTTGCAATTAAGCAACAGGAAAACTAAGAGACTAAGGACTTTTTTTATACATAGGGTAATAAGTTGCAGAACAAGCTTTCCCTTTTTCTTTAATAATATATAATATTTTTATAATATGTGTATATATTATATACATGTGTATATATTATATACATGTGTATATATTATATACATGTGTATATATCATATGCATGTGTATATATTATATGCATGTGTATATATTATATGCATGTGTATATATTATATACATGTGTATATATTATATGTATATTATATATTGCCATTAAAGCCCTCCACGGCTTCACTCCTCCATACCTCTGGGACTTCCTAAGCCCCTACTAACCTGTCCGCTCCAACCACTCAACGGGTTCCGGCCTGCTTCACAACCCTGCCTTGCCCACCCCACCATTGGTGGGCAGGCCTTCAGCTTCTCTGCCCCTACCCTCTGGAACTGTATCCCACAGTCCCTCCGGGTCTGGCCTCCTTGTCCCCCGAATCCTCCACTCCACCCTCGGCGGCCGTGCCTTCAGCTACTACGCTCCGAGGCTCTGGAACTGCCTCCTTCACTCCCTTCATCTCACTCCCTCCCTCCCTCCCCATTTTCAGGTCTCTGCTGAAGACCTTTTCAACCGCGCCTTTGGTCACCTTCCTATCCCTCCCCTTGGCTCGGTCCCGGGATCCTAAACTGTAAAGCGCTCTGAGACGCCGTCCGGCGTGGAGGGCGCTATATAAATCCAAGTTGTTGTTGCTTCGCCTTCAAGACCCATCTCAAGACCCTCCTCTTCAACCGTGCCTTCGGTCACTCTCTTACCCCTACCTTCCCTGCCCTCCATCCCTCCTGATCCCAATCACCAGCTCGGGTGTGGATCCCTGACTGCCCAACGCCTTGGGACGATTTCCTGACATGTAAAGCGCTTTCAAATGTAATTTGTTGTTGTAACAGATTAGGAAAATACTTACATTTATTTCCTTTACACTTTACTATGAAAATGTAGAATTATAAAATTTAGAATTCAATGTATTTTGTGTTCATTCTGCTTATAAGTATTCGTCCAGACAATGTTTCTTGATAAAATTACTGCTGTAACCGTTCAACCGTATTTTTTAAAATTTCACTGAATTTCTTGCACTAATCAGAGTTGCTGTTTATTCAGTAGGACAATTACAATTTGAATTACAAATAACTGAAAATGTTATGTCCTGAAGACATTTGATGTCAGAAAACATTCTATGTTTAATTACATGGTGTGATTAAACATGAGGGTTTTATTTCAATGAGGCAGAGTACCTTTTAAGAAACTGTCCGACATACAGCAAGAAGAATTAACATTTTAAGGCTGTGCAGTTTCTAGAACAACCTGCTCATTTGTATCTAAGCAACAAGGGTAGCAACTATTGTGTCCATGGAAGACCTGATAATGGAGAAATCTGTTCAGTTTGTTGGGGGGGAAATGACTCATATGTGAGATCCTGGTTTTATAATTATGGAATTTGTGACATGTTGATAATGTTACTACATTAGCAATTACTGCATCAGTAATTATGCAAAATGATTGCTTGGTTTGGCGTGGTAACTTTTTGTTTTAGTCCATCCTTTGCAGTCATGACGAAACAGCTTTTTTTAATCTAATCATTGGATTATTGCAATATTTTGAAGTATTGATGTTTCTCAGGGGAAAAAATTCTGGTTAAATGCCCATCTCCCATTTTGCATAGAAATGCTTCTACGTAGATCCTGGTATGGGTAGCACTGATAGTTATGGGAGATAGAGTAAGAACGGCAGATATTTAGATGAAGTAGAGCTATCCAAGAAGAAATTTGGTCTCACAAGGTATCGGAAGCATGATTAAGAGTTTTGACCATGGAAAGGAATGATTGGAAGAGTGCTTTAGGACGTTACCCTGCATGAGGGGCGCTATATAAATGCAAGTTGCAGTGTTGTTATCGGGGTGTAAGATGACGATGTAAACTGATGGACCGTTTTGGTCAAGGATTATTCATAGAGTTTGAAACAACGCTGTGTTTTTGTTGGAGTCAATGGCCCACATGAATTGATTATTTTCTATTTGTATTTATCCATCTAGCTATCAACTTTAGATTTTTTTTAGAAAAAAAAATTATTCATTAATGATGCATCCTCAACTGCAACTCTTGTTGGGACGGGGTAGAACATTCTTTCACATCTTAATTGAAGCTTTTAAAATACATTAGGATCATGTTTTCTTCCTCATTTGTCAAATGAACATTAATTCAGTTCTGTGAATCAATGTTTGTAACTTAAGAGTTGGTAATTCACTTGATGATAATAATAATCCTTGCATTTGATATAGCGCTTTATCACGTCTTCAAGATGTTTCAAAGTGCTTCTGAATATACTGTGAAGTGAATTGACTGTATATTTTATGGTGAAACGCGGCAGCCAATTGGCTCAGCAGTCCCATAAACAGTCATGGATTGAGTGATCAAATTGTTATTTTTTTTAAAAAAATAATTTTTGAAGGTATTATTAACCGAAAAGGGATCCGCAAATCGAGTAACAACCGGGTGTCTACTTACTGCTAGATAAACAGGTGTGTGGAGTAAGTAAACTTGCTTAAGGTTTCATCCTGCCCAGGAATCAATCCCAGGTCCTCTCGCTTACGAAGTGGTTGCTATATACTAACCACTAAGCTACAGGGTGCCACAAATGGCTATTTTTGGTACATGCTGTGCTGCCACAAATTGCCCACAGATGCACACTATTCCCACTATGCTTGTCTATAAATGTCTATCGATTTAACCTGAGTCAGGCTATTGAACCTATTCTTCTGATCATTGTATTTGTTGAACGTTAAGAAATGTTAAGCATCATATTAGGATTGTTGCTCCTCACCAATTCAACAATGTTCTTCCTTGGTACAAGTGCTGATATGCTGCATCACACAATTGATTTTTATAAAAGTAAATAATGTTCCTTTAATAACTGAGGTGTGTTTTCTGCAGGTTCGATCTGTGGATGAGATGAACCATGACTTTCAAGCTCTTGCATTGGAAGGTCGGGGAATGGGGGAAGTAAGTTGGGTAAAATACATAATTCCTATAAACAAGGCTCAGTTAAAAGAAATTTGTTTTATTTTCATATACCTCTATTAACTTAGAGCTCAGACTCCTGTATAAATTTATTGAGATATGAACACAAACTATAAGTATACTTTTAAGTATTATACATAGCAAAGGTGAAGTAATGTGGGGGTGACCAGACCACCTGGAATCTTTTGTTTATGAGAGCCATTTAGTTTCCAATTCCTCACACTTGTATTTTAGTTTGTATTCTGTTGTGCAGAATTTTATCAAATGCCTTCTGAAAATTCATGTAGATAATTCTTGCACTTGATTTAATGTGTGTAACAATTAAATAGCTCAGAACACTTCATAGGGTATTGCTGTCAGTTTTATTGGCAAATGTGGCAGCCAATTTGGGTACTAAACAGTTGGGAAGCAAATGACCATTATATGTGGAAGGATGTTTGCCAGTACACTGGTAAAAACTCCCTAATCTTTTTATGGAATCTTTAATATTCATCTGAACATGCAAATGAGAACTTGGTTTAAGGTGTTATCTGAAGGGTGGTGCCTTATGATAATGCAGCACCCCTCCCCTCAGTACTGCACTGGACTGTCAGACGTGATTGCTAGTGGAAAGTTCGGACAGGCTGAACCCACAACCTTTTGACCCAGAGGACAGAATGCTACCTGCTGATGTATGCTGACACTTAGATGACTTCCATCAATCCTCTTCTGCCCTGCACTTCACTTGTTCTGTCAAATAAATGTGTTGGGTTAGTTAGATGTGACCTACCTTTTACAAACCCATGCTAACTCCTTGATCAGCTTAGACATATCCAGTTAACTCTGACCTTGATTATGGATTCTAGTAATGTTTTCACAAATTGTTATACTCTTCCGTATAGTTATTTGGATTGTTCTTTCCACTATTTTTAATAATATTTAGTTGCACAATGATAGATCATTGTTCACTTGCTGGTCAGGTTAAGCAAGAGTTAAATTATCAGATTTGAAATGTATGTCTAAATAAATTATAAAATGTATCTTGCTTCTGGCCTCAGTACAGTACAATGCCATTTAGACCTGTAGATTGGCTAAAGGTGATCTACAGCATTGTATTTTTTCATTTCTTACAGGATCACAGCTGAAGTAGACAAAATATTTTATAATTGGAGCACAGGAGCTCTTGCAGTTATACTTCAGCCATTTTTTTTCTTACACGCCAGGGTCCACAAATTCATAACTCCCATCTTCAATAAGCTCCAATGGCTCCCAGTACCCCAGTGAATTATCATTAAGATTTTTGCCCTTGGCTTCAAATCACCGCAGTATTATCTTTTCTAATCTAGACAATCTATTTGTTATGTTCTCCTGCCCATACCCTCCAACCTCCTGACTGATTTATTGCTCACTTCTCTGTTCCACCACTGGTGACTGAACCATCACTGTGTTTTTGTCCTCTGGAACACTCTTCCAAAATCGTTTAAACCCTTCCCACAATCAAACCCTCTTTAAAAACTTTTCTACTAGTCAACATTTTTAATCTCTCCTCAATATATTCAGCCTATATGTACCAGTGCAATTGTTTGTTGTTGCACTTAACATTTTGTATAAGGGCAAATGGTTCGCATGGAATGTGAGTGATGGATTGTTATGCTGCTTCTTGTGTGGATCATTCAAGCTTTCTTTCAAGCAGCAGATTAACAGCTCTTAAGCCAGTAATATTTAGACTATGTATTCGGTGGTTCACTGCACTGGGTTTGTCCTATGGCACCCAAAGGCAAATTCTCCAAACTTGATCTGTGTAGGCATTTGAGTTCAGATTTGTGTGACATCTTGTTGCAGTTGCCTTTGGCTTCATCCAGTTTTCCATCAGATGCGTAGAAATATTTCATTCTTTTCACTTGCGTTAGTGTGACCTGCTTGCTGTAATGTAATTGGAACAAAAGTAAGAATGTCAAACACCGGGAACACATTCAGAATTTAAGAACATGAAAGGAGAGGGTCAGGTAGAATAATTTTGCTTAAATAATTATAGACTTTAGAATAAATTAATGGGGAGGACATTGTAGTAAATAGTATAAGTGGATTCAAGAAGTAACTAGATGTTTTGCATAAGTCTTATTTTGTTATGACAGATACACATGCTGCATCTCAGAAGATGTTCATTCACTATACTGAAATTTCATACAATGGTATAAAAATTATAATCTCTTATTTGACCTGCTTTGATGGAGTGTACATGATGGCCATTATGATGGAGATTAAAGTAGTTTTATTCCATTGAACAAGCTAAGTACTGCATTGCCTGAAATTGTTGAGCAAGGGAGAGAAGAGAACTGACAAAACCAAGAAACTATAAATGAGTTATCTAGATCTAAAATCAGTGGGGTGCTATAATAAAAAATAAGATTTAAAAATCCTACCTTCTAAGCTGCTGCCATTTTAGTGTTTCTTTGTCTTGATACTATTGCCTCCGGAAGTGAGCGCATGACCTTTAGCTAGAAGTGTTGGCTAACCTACTTTACTCTCTGTAAGTTAGCTGAAGCCCTTCAAACATGGATATCTTTCATGGTCATGATCACCCTTTTACCTTAATTGCATTCTTTGATTTAATATCTGGTGTTTATTACCGATGTCACAGATTCCTCTTGTGCACTGCATGCTTTACTCTTTTGATATTCTTTGCTCTCCCAGACTAAGTTGGTAAATTCATTAAGCTTGGGTAGAAATGCATGAACTGCAGACATTAGGAGCCAATTTATATTTCTCTGGACTTGTGAGTTATGAGAATTAATTCTGACTACTGGTGAATGCCAGAAAATGGCACTCTGGGTGAATTGATTTCTTTGTAGCTTGCACACTTTTGATGGAACAAACTAATTACAATATTAAATCTATTCGATTAGGAATCGCTATAACTGATTTTTGACACAGTTTTCTCTTTCATATTCTGGCTTGTTTTTTTATTTGGGATTTTACGTTTTACTTTTGTTAATTTTCTGACATAGATTATTTTTGAACTTCCAAATTTAAATATAAAACCTTATTTTCTACTTTTATTTTTATCCTATATACTGTAGTAAGTGAGAGCAATTTTCAAAAAAAACTAGCTTTTCAATTCATCAAAAGCACGAACACTTGAATTGATTTCATGATTAACTTCACAGTATCTCTTCATACAAACCAGTCCACAGTTTAAAAAAGCACAATGTTAATATAAATTGGTTGACCTTGTCCTTAAACTTGCTGATTTTCTATTAGAATCTTATTTGGAAGTGAAAGCTACCTCTTATTTCTGCATGACTGGAATTCCTAATGGTTCTTGGACGTTTGTGCTGTATGATTGTTTTCTTTCTAATTGATCCATAATATATTCTTGTCTGATATAAAATGTTATCAAGTGCAATTTTTTTAACATAAGTGTGTCTTACCTGTTTGAGTACCTTGGAGCTCCAAACATGTTAACAATATTATGAGTTTGATTGTTTTGTGTAGTTTCTTATAATCAGCTGGTATGTGTAAACACGGAACAGATGGCTGGTTTCACCCTGCAGGGGAAAGACACTTAGAGGAGAGTAGCTATTGGTCTGCTGTTTACAAAGTGAAGGCCTGCCAGCAGGTCACTCGACCTTTCAGTTGCAGGAGGTGTGTGTTTTGGGATGATGTCCAGCAAAGGAAAAGATTAAATGCCACTCGGGGTGAATTATAAGTGCTAATTGTACAGGTATCCAACATTACCCCTAATTGTTGGTAACGAGAGTATTACCTTGTATTATTTCTCATTGATTTGTGTGTCTGTTGATGTTTACTGTACCAATTCATATCATAAACAATTTCTGCCTCAAATTGTTAATATACTGATTTGTATGTTAGCTGAAATCAATCATTGAAAGCAGTCTCATATGCCATGCTGAACACATTTGCAACTAACAAACCTGCATGGTGTATACTTCTGAGCATGTAGCCATGGGAAATTTGAGATTTTTTTTGACTGCATGCTATTACCAGATTGGTTTTTGTCCATCAATATTTGCTATTTGTCTGATTTTAGTATTTTGAGTTCTATTTAGTGTAGTTGTCATTCTTTTATTTTTTTTTGTAGCTTTTGCCTGCAAAGAAATTCTGGGAATCTGATGATTCAGCTAAAGATGGACAAAAAGGGATATTCCTGGGAGATGAGTGGAGGGACAATGCATGGAGCGCATCTCGTAAGTGTTCCTAATAATATTGCTTCCTAATTGCTAATGTTTATATTTTGTGTGGAAAATATTTTTGTTAGTGGCAACCAACTTCAAGTTCACATCAAGCTTCAGTAATGTGAATTAATTTGCAATTTTGTTCAGTTCTGAAAATGGTCACTGATTACATTTCAGAGAACACAGGAATACTTGGCCAGAACCAGAGGGAATTATTGTTTGGAATAATATAATAATAATCCTTGCATTTGATATAGTGCTTTATCTCGTTGTTGAGGTGTCTCAAAAGCGCTTCACAAAATATACTATACAGTGAATTGTGTATATTTTGTAAGTGGAATTCTGCAGCCAATTTTGTACAGCAGTCGTGCATTGAGTGACCAAATTATTTTTTTGAAGGAATTGTTATCCCTAGAAAGCGATCGCCAATTGACTAACAACTAACAATTGACTAACCGGGTTCCTACTTACTGCTAGGTAAACAGTGGTTGGAGCAAGGAAATTTGCTTATAGTTTCACCCCACCTGGAAATCGAACCCAGGCCTCTCGCTTTGCGAGGCGAGTTCTCCAACCAATATGCTACAGGACTAACATATTCTGAATTTGTGCTTTGGGAATATTCAATATTGTGTGTTTCACAATAAGAATGTGAAAGGAACTTTTTCATGATTATTAATGTAATTGTATATTGAAATATCATTCAGTGTACCCAAGTGCTTTTAGCATTTTATTAGGATCTACCTTTGTGCTGTCCCATAATGTTATTTCCTAAAAGAAAACTATCTAATCTGTGTTTGAAGGAATCAACATTTCCTGCATCAACTGTCTCCCTCGGGAGCCTGTTCCACAGGTTTACTATTCCCTCACTGAAAGTGTTTCCGTAGATTCGTTTTGAATTTACCCCCCCCTTCAGTCGTGTCCTCAGGTTTCAACAAGTGAATTTTTAAATGTAGCCTTACACTGCCAATTATACTGTTAAACACCTGGATGCAGATGTAATCTGTTAAATTGGTGTTCTCTGTAGATTCCAGTTGTGTTGCAATTTCTGCACCCAAGTACTCTTGAAGTGCATTAATGCTATAAGCGTCATAAGAATGTGAGCAACTGATGGTGTTAAGTCTAAAACTTGATGACCTACTTGTTTGCAGTCCATCATAGTCTGTTCATTATTGTCAATGCTGATCAAATAATCGTTTATCTAGCTTGAAGAAGTATGATAATGGTGCAGCACAATACTAGCTGGTCAGCCTTTAACAGTACCTTGGATTTACTGTGTGTCTACTCAGCCAATGAAACCTTGGGGCGTGCTTGCTTGCCTTACCCTCCTCCCAAAGAAAATATTTAATCTTATCTTCTTGAGTCTAGCAACTGTATGGAAGACAATGTCAGAATGTTATTTTAAATTAAAAACCTCATAATGTTTTGCCACAAATGACCCTAAATCAGTGGTGGTCAACCTGTAAGTGGCCCGTGAGGCTGTCAAGAAGCAGCTTCCCGAACATTCTCACGAGTGTCGGTTAGTCTGAATTCAGGCGGTAGTGCGTTTTCTGTTTTTTTTGATTGGTTTGTGGCACAAGTACAGAAATGTTCAATTAAGAGAATTTATTTTTTGGCTGACCATAAAGGTTGACCACTACTGCACTAAATATTCGTGTGTTAATTTCACATGCTTTTTATAAGCAAGTAGTTTCTTTGACACAAAGTAGACCCTTTTAATATAAGTTCCTATAGATATTAAGCCCTTGCTTACATTTATTGTGTTACACAGACTCTGTGTCACAGCCCATCATGGTTCAGAGAAGACCTGGTCAAGGTTTCCATGGCAACAATGAAGTTGGCTCGGTTCTGTCTCCTCGATCTGAAAGTGGTGGACTGGGAGTAAGCATGGTGGAATATGTTTTAAGATCTTCACCCGGAGATAAGCTGGATACTCGTTTTCGAAAAGGACCATTTGTGAGTATCTGATCTACAATTAATTTGATTTCTGTGATATTATTTATCATTGAGGAAAAATTCATATTATCAACCTTAGTAAATCTATACTTGATCTGCACATAGTTTTATTCAATTTTGACAAACAGTAAAAGCTTTCATTTAGTGTAGCACATGGGAACTGAACTCAGGCAACAATATAATTAGTAGATTAACTAGAACTGATGTTTTTTCATTGTGTAAGTGCACACATATTGAAATATGTGAGTATTTGCTGCTAAATACTGTATGCATTCCTTATTGAGGTTACTGCCCAAGTACCTATAATGCTCATTGGTATTAACCTTAAAATCAGCCTTCCACTACGATTTATACTTTGAATATTCTATGTTTTTATCTAAACAAAGAATCCTGATGATATCAGAAATTGATTTGGTGATGGTGTAAAACATTTGAATTAATGTATGCAGTGAAAGGCAACATGAATGCTTTATCGTTAGGATAGTGATTGCAGCTGATCTAAATAGATACTTCACAATTAAGGGTCTTAAGGGGTATGGAGAAATGACAGGAAAATGGGACTGTGCAATAATTTGATGGAGCTGAATGGATTCAAGGGCTTCTTTCTGTTTCTATCATTTTGTAGTCAGGGTGGATAACTCTACCACCAAGGTATTTATGAAAATGATGTTAGTTCTTTATAGTGCGATTTTTTTTAAACTTCCTGTTTAATGAAACTCTGGTCATGTATGAGAGCAGCCATGTCTAAATTGAATGAAAAACGAATAATCAAAATATCAGTAACACCAATAGTAACCAATTTAATTCATGTATAAAGAAAATATAAAAAACACAAACACTGTAGAGAACCCTGCTTATCCTCATTGAGACTCAGATGTGTCAGTAAATGTGGGCTAAGTTGTCCGTGCACACAGTGTAATGAGATTCACAATTTTCTCTAAAGTTATGTGAGGACAACTGAAAGGGATAAGTTTGGTACACGCGTAGAGAGAAGCACAAACCCACCCTTCCCCACACAAAAACAAACACACACACGAGTATACACACACACATGCAGATATGATAGCTGCACTGTTTTCACATCCACAATGACGCTGACCGCAATGATTGAGGATAGTGATTTTCTACTGTAAAAGTTTGTGTTGGAAACTGCTGTTGCTTTACAATAAGTAAAGAGTTTAACTTTGACACTCTGTTATAATATATTTGTATTAGTATTTTGTACTTGACAAATTCTGATTAGCCATTTCCTTTTGAAATTTCTTTATATTCATATTTAGTGAGTATGTAAACTTCAAAAAAAATTCAGTTTCTGACACGATCTTGCTCATTTTTTAAAAAAAGTCACTTTAAATACCAATCTGGAGTGAGCTTAATTTTATGCTGTGGCACATATTCCAGGGTACTGCAAAACTGGTTCAAATCAAAGTGATTCTGTGGTAACCTTCAAGTGCTGTTGCTGTGGGTTCTATGCATTTTGGAATTCACAGCACCAATAGCAACACGGAAATAGTTCTGCATCCTTAATCTACTCTTCTCTCCTCCTTTCCCCCCCACTCCCCTCCTCACACCCATTCTGCTCGCTCCTTCTTGGATATCCTGTATATGATGTTCGTAACTCACCAGCGGCTAAAATGCACCAGAAAGGCGGTGCTCAGTTCTGTTTCATACTTCCACCCACACTTTACTGTTCTGCCTCTTTGTACTGCATGCCAGTTGGATTTTTCCTATTATTACTCGTGATATTAGCAATACTACAGAAATATGTATTCTAAGCGTGCACCAGTCTTTTATACATTTGTTTCAGTTCTGAGAAGACCTGTTTTTCTGAGTCTGATTGACCTATGCTGCCAATCCAGGTTCTGTTTCCCAGATCAGTGGAGAGGGTGTTTTCAGTATTAACATGGACTGGTGTGCACCATATGAGACTTGAATCTGATGGACAATATTTTTATCTTGAAATGCTGGATGATTTTTAAAAAATTTAACTAGTACAAAAGAAGACCATTCAAAAGGCTACTGCTAATCGTTGTGTACCTACAGATGCTATATTACTTGACAAATTGCATGTTTATAATAATAATTCTTATATTTGGTATAGCACCTTTCAAGTCAGGAGGATGTCCCAAAGCTCTTCACGGGGTGCACTGTAATGTACAGTGACTCTGTATGGTACAGGGTAATATGATGGCTAGTTTGTGCACAGTAATGGTCCTACAAACTGCATGAAGTGAATGGCCAATTTGATTTGTGGGATTGTTGGCCAGGGCACCAGGGGAACTTCCCTTCTCTTATTGAGTATTGCCATGGGATCTTAAACATCCACCTGAACAGATAGGACCTCAGTTTAACATCTCATCAGAAGTACAGCAGCTCCAACAATGTGCACACCCCCAGCTCTGCATTGGGGTGTCATCTTAGACTATGAATTCCAAGTCTAGATGTGGGGCTTGAATCTGCAATCTTCTGACTCAGAGGTGAAAGTGGTACCAACTCAGCCAGGTTAATGCAAAATAATCCACTGCAAATAAACTTGCATTCAGTTCATGTGCTGTATAAATGTGAATTTTATTGATGTTTTTTTTGTTACTATTGCAGTTACTATTGTAAATGGGAACACTGTTTTAGTGCCCTTCAATATGTATTATTTGCAGCCTCATTTATGGCATGGGTCTGCTGTGGACCCACACTAGACTGAAGCAAGGTTTCCTGGCTTCTGGTGCTGACTAGCTGGCTACTCAGGTCAACACTTGTATACTAAGTGCAGAAAGTATTGCCAACAACATTTTGTGTGCTGTTTATCGTCAGGAAGTGCTGCTAACGTCTTTTGCTGCAGACTGAAAATGGACAGAAAGGGAGCTAACATCATTTTGTCCAAGAAATTATGTTAGTGTTGCTTCCTGTAAATGCACAACACTAAAAGTGACATCAGTGACGACATGATCCAGAATTCTGCTTTCTTTGCCTCACTTATTAATAATGTCGCTGAGACATTGGATCCAGCTGAAGATACTACATTTCCTTGTATTTTTTAAAATTGCCTGAAGGTTTTGATCCAGTCACGGAACCTTTGTCTAGTGTTAATAATCTTACTGTTTACTTAGATTATTTTTAAGGGATAACTATTTTAGACTAAATTATCAATATTTTAATGCCTCAAATATAATCCTTTGCGAAGATTAATTCTGTAATATCAGTTGAGAGTTGTATTGTAAATAACACAAACAGATTACCTTCCTTATGTAGCTCCATTGCGCGCAACATTTTTCTTTGAAAAAAAATAAGGCTGTAAACGTTTGTGTATCTGACTCCACTAAAACTAATTTTGAAGACATCTCTTAGACTGCATTTTAATTCCTTGTTTGCTTAATTCAGAAACTGGTAATTTGGTGTGTATCCAGATTGCATCATCTGATAACAAATCAGTCATTTAGCATGTGATTTGTTTTGTGGATATAGTGAAAATAATAAATTAATATGGGGGCATAAGGGGAGTTACTCATTAATATGGGGGCATAAGGGGAATTACTATTTTCAGAAATAGAATTGTTTTTTAGCGAAAATTTCTACATAATTTTTTTAGAAATTAATGAATGTTTTCGATGGGGTAAATAGACGTTATTTTACACCGATCAAAGAGTTGGAAACTAGGGTGAAAATTGTATGATTATCACAAGAAGGAAAAAGGGGGAATGTTCTCCCTCTGCTTCAAACATTGTATATTGTTTTTAATAATTCATATATAGAACCTACAAGAAGGAATATCTCTAAATATTTGACAGCAATTGCCTGTGAAATGCTTTATTGTGCACCAGTAACACCTGTTGAGAAAGTATGTTGTAGTTAAGGACTTTTAAATTTGAGCTTTTCATGAGTTTTTTTTATGAGCCGGAGCAGGATACTGAGCAGGGATGATGTGAAAGGTGATGGTCAGAGTTAGGTTTTCAGAATGCTTTTAAAGTTAGAAAGAGACCAAAGGTAAGGCATAGTGAATCAGCTGAAGGCTCAGCCACCAATGGGCACCACAGATTACACAGAGGTCTGAGTTAGCCAAGTAGAAGGGGTGGGCAAGAGAGTGAATCTGAAGAAGATCACAGAAGTAAGGAAGACTGCTGTTGTGTAACAATTTGTAGGCAAATATGAGGATTTTGAATTGATCAGATGGGTAACATGGTGCCTGGCGAGGATGAGGGTTATGGACAGCCAAAATTTAGTGCTTGTAAGGATGTGAATAGTGGAATATTGGATGAACTGGGCTTGTTCAAATAGTGCAGATGAGGAGGGCATTTGGGAAATCCAACACCACAAATTACATTTGTATAGCATCTTTCATGTCGGCAGGACGTCCAAGGTGCTGGATGATCAGGGAACTGCACCCAAGCAGGTGGTTGGGATCAGTAGGGGTGGAGGGTAGGGGTAGGAGGGTGACTGAAGCCACAGTCGAAGAGGAGAATCTTGAGAGGAATTATGAAGGAGGCAAAGGAAGGGGCAAGGAGTAGTGACTGTGGGATGGAGTTCCAGAGGGTGGGGGCAGAGAGGCTGAAGGCCCACCCACGAATGTTGGGAAGGAGGGGGAAGTGAAGCAGGACGGAGCCTGCTGAACATAGGGAGCAGACAGGTTGGTAGGAGGTCACAGAGGTAGGGAGGAGCAAGACCGTTGAGGGATTTGACAGAACCAGGATCTTGAACTGTATCCTCTGAGTGATGGGGAGCAGTGGAGTCGGGCGCTGATGGAGTCGTGGCGCCTGGTGGTGTGGTAGAGGGCACTGGCTGCAGAGTTCTCGATGATCTGCAGCTTGTGGAGGGGGAGTTGGGGAGGCCCACAAAGCAGGGAGTTTGCAGAGTTGAGCCTGGATGTGATGAACAGGTGGAAGAGGATGTGGTGAGACACAGTGGTGAGGCCGGGCAATCTTGTGGAACGGGTCATGGCACGGATGTGCAGGATGATAATAGTTTGGCGATAACAAAGGCGTGGGTTTTGACAACATAACAATTTTGTGGGGGTGAAATTAATCTTTTTAGTTATTTTGGTATAATAGTAACTTGCATTTGCATACTGCCTTTCAAATAAAACTAAACTTTGTAGTGCTTTAAAAAATATGTAATTGATTTCAAATTAAGTCAGTGTTTAGAAAAATGTAGCAACTAATCTCAACTAGTGACATGAGCAGTCAATTCATTTTAAAGTAATGGGTACGGTTGGCTATAGAAGGGATTATAAAACAGGTTAAACCTGAAGAAACATTATACTTTTCTTAATAATAAAAATCCTTGCATTTGATATAGCGTCTTATCGCGTCTCAAAGTCTCCACAAAATATACTGTAAACTGTATGAGCTGTAGATTGCCATTTAAAATAAAAATGGCAAAGCAAACCTTTTAAATCCATCTGGATGATGAGACAGATGGAACCTAAGTTAATAACAGATTTAAAGAATGGGATAGTCATTTGTAAATAAAAGGATTTATATGTAATATCAATACTATGTAAGCAAATTGGCAGCTAATCTTCACCAGCAACATTCCATAAAAGGCAAGTCAATTTAAAATTGAGGAAGGAAACCATATGAACAAAAAATTAAAAAAATAATAACACTAGGGAAAAATAAAAAAGAAGGCAGAGAGGTGGGGAGTTCGGAGCTGTTTTTTTTTTAAAAAAAGTATCTGACAGGCTTTTGGGATTTTTTAATTAAATATAAATTGTGATATTAGCTGAGATTTACCTTTTTATATCAAATCTCCCCGCACCTTGATTTGATCCTGTTTGTTGACCACAAAATGCTCCCATTAAAAAATACCTAGTTTTTTATACAAATTAAAAACTGCCTTCAATTATTATTAATTAATGATCCATATATAAAAGGGTAGTTTTTTCAATTATTCACTATAGAAATGTGGCACTGGTTTGATTGCTTCTGCATTGGCAGAACGGCTTGGTCTGAATTAGGATGCAAAACATTGCCTTTTATCCAAAATTTCCTATGTAGCACATATGGAAGCTTGCACGTCAAACATTCTGTTACCAGGAGTATCCGTGCTATGTGGAAATTCAACACCTTTTATTTGTGTAGTATGCCTGCTTTAGTGGCTTTCTTTCATCAGGGTGCTGGAGACACTGAGGCTGAAGGGAATGAGAAGGCTGATCACAAAGGCAAGTCATCGCCTTATGAGGAGGACAAAAACCGAGATCTAAAGCAGGGAGATGATGATGTTTCCAAAACTAATGGGCTGGTTTTGCAGAATGGCATAGATGCAGACTGTAAGGACTTCAAGTAAGTATGCTGGTGTTTCTACATTATTTGAGGGAATTTAACATTCCAGTTTGTTTCCCCAAATGAAGCATGGGCATGCATCTACTCATAGACCTTTGGCAGTGCCAGTCTCGATGGACTTCCAGGGTCTTTTCCTTCCAACCAATTTGCTAGTAGAGGGAACAGGACAATGTTGTCATGACAATCCAGTCATTAAATCTGCAGGGTTTATATGGAACCCTTTTTTAGGTCACAAAATCTTTTGTTGGTGTGGTTAATATTTTGTTCCAGACAGAATGGAATTAATGTCCTTTCTTAGGAAAATAGCTTTCTGATTTTCTATATAGTCCAGCTTCTATCTTGATGGTAATTTGCATAGCGGAAAAAGTTCACTTGCTCCATAAATGGTGCTTTTGAGTCGCATACAAGTGTTTCAAGTGTACAAAGTCCTATATGGCACTGGTGTGCTTGGTGCTTTCTGTATTTGGAAATTCCCTCCATTATTATTTGCCATTGATAATTTTAATTTGTTTTCTAGCTGAAAAGCTGTTTTATTAAACAAGCTTTTGAATACTATATTACAGAAAATTTTCCATTTATCCTTTATTTGGTCAAGTCACTACAGATACAAGTCAAAAAGACATGATTTCAGATTTTATTCCTGTTCCTTATCTTAGTCAGATTGGATTGGTAGTAAAAGTACAAAATTGACCTCAGCATTTGAATTCCTGTTTTTGATTGCCATTCATTGGCCACTGCTGGAAAGTACATTCATGTGGATGGCAGGTGATCACAGAATTCAACTTGACTGTGATGTCCTCATGATTGAAAAGCATGCTAACGCTTAGTATCTCTAGTCTCACATATTTTGGGTGAGATGATGAAGTTACTGGCTGGCACCTATGAGAGTGCATCCAGCATGACATGCTTTCAGGAAAGGCAGGGATGTGGGGGAGGGATATAGCCAAACATCTGGGGTGTGGGTTTAATCTAGAGATTAACTGATTTGTGATTGTTTTAGCAAATGGGAACATGAAAACTTTATGTTTAATTGGTGAAGTGAAGTCCATGTTTGTTTTTGTAAGAGGCATATGGTCTTGATCAGCCAAATGGGCTTTTCTTGTTCTATGCCTTGTTTTTAGGCCAAACAAAATATTGGTAAGATTGTATTAGGTGTCTCAGAAGGGTCAAAACTTATTGTGCTGCTGGAAACCAGTTTTAAAAGCCTTCTCCTTTTACATTGGGAAGTATTGTGGGAGATGCTAAATGCCAGTATGTTGAGTGAAGCAGTGAATAAAGAAAGTAAATTTTGTATTTTTTCTGGGTTTTAAGAGGATTTTCAGTGGTCCTAATGTAGAACTGATTAAACAGTGTAGATTTAGTCGTTTTTTTGTCAACAGTCAGCCTTGAAATGTTTGCCTTCCATTCTAAAGTAGTTAAGAGCTAACAAGGCAAAGAGGTATTGGCTTATTAAAGGAGCTTGATTTTGTAAGATCACTATTTTGTTCTACTTGACTAGAAAAAACAGGCTAAATACCATCAATGTTGACGTGTAAAATTCTTGAATTGGAAAATGCCCTTTATGCTCCATAGCTCTGACGGATTTTGTCAAGTAGGGGAAAGACAAAAGAGTGAATTTGTGCATAGAAGTACCTAAAGTGGTTTATTTTACAAAGATAATCGTCATTTTAAAATGATTCTTTCTACCACTCCTAAATCAGAGGTAGAATGTCCTTTTTGTTTTTGTGTATGTTTAAACTTGCAGTTCAATGTTGAGGCAAAGTGCACCAAGAAGCTAGTGTACTGTCTTCTATGATAAGTACTGTATTAACCTATGTCTGTATTGCTGCAGTCGATGGAAGTCTTTCTTCAGCAGCAGTGCAAAATTACGTCGTTGCCTCCAAGTATGGTTGGCATAATAATCGGAGGATCTTTATCCTACCTTGGAGGTAACAACACCTGAGGACATGTGGCCACTCTTGATGCACATCCACCATGTGTTTCTGGCCATTTGGAAGGCAGAAATGTTATCCTGCCCCTACAAGCTTATTATGCAAATTTACATTGTTCCCATACAGACCTTCCTTGGAGATTACAACAGAAAATTAAATGGTGCTGTGGAACAAATCGTACTCTGAATTGAGATCGTGCCTAATATTCTTAAAAGCGATTTAATTTTTCAAAATTGTAATTAAAGTGTGTGTGTATACATACGCATGTGTTGCACATGCATATGTGTTCCATTTAACAAAAAACTATAAACCCACATTTGTATTTTTATACTGCACAGCCGTACTCCTGGAAGCCGTCAAGCCTCCCCCACTGAAGTGGCTGAACGTCTCGGTCCTAACCAGAACCCTTCAGAAGGTTTAGGCCAGTTGCCCAATGCCACAGCAAATAAGCAACCTGGAGAGGAGTTTCATAATTCTGACACCCAAAATTTAGACACCATTGAGGCCACAGTTGGCCTAGATCCTTTGCAGTTTGACTATACAAGCAGTCAAGTATCCATGGACTCTTCGGCAGCAGCTGTAAGTCTTTTTGACTACGCTTCACAGCAACAGGTTAGTCTCTGCAGATGAGTTGCAGTTTTGATATTTGCTTTCTCCAGAAAATAAAGATCATAGTTGAACATAAATGAAAGCAGACAGTGAATCAAGATCATTTAAAGGTGTGCAAAATCTCTCAGCAGCATTGTAGTTAAATAAAAGGCTATGATAAATGAAACTGCCATCTTATAGCCATGCTAGTAAATACAAAGATTAAGTGTACCATTTATGAACGGCCAGAAATGACAGTGGTATTTTAAGACTTCCAGTCCCAGGTGTAACTCCTGAAGTCCAGTTCAGTCTTTGAGCTCTTTCTGCACTACTCCCGTGGCCCTGGTAAATGCAAATTATCAAATGCAAGGATTATATAACTATTATAACTATGCATATGCCGCTTGGTCACTCAATTCAATGTTGTTCGTCCTGGACCCTAAGTGGAATTTTTTTTTGAATATTGGAATTCATTTTCTTTTTTTTCTCCCCTGAAACGCAAGGTGGAATATTTAATGTGGCTACGATACAGGATGCAACCATCCTGTAGAAGTCATGTCCTGTTGACCAGTCAGAATGTGGCATTGCGACCTGCAGATTTTGGGGACTCCCTTTCCCCAGATATAGTGGCAGCATGTAGCAGTCAAAAAGGTTTGCAGGATTAATAGACAGAATTAAATTGTATGTATTTCTAATGGATTTTTTTTTGTTTTTATGTATGGTTTTAATTTTATAAGAATGCTCAATGGCAATAATAACTTGTCAAAGGCTAAGTGACCCATTTGATTAAAGATCTATTTAATTTGTGTCCAATTTAAGCATAGTCTGCCAAGCTATTACTGTGTTTGAACCACAGTGAGATTCAGTAAAAGATTTAGGGTATTACCCTGTTACACACCTACAATTATCTTGACACAAATTAGATGTAATAATAGTGAAGTAACTGATTTTCTCTTGTAAGAAGTTCATGATTCATCCACCCCAGTTGTGTTGATCTGCAACTTGTTTTCTTCCTCGTGAGATTGATTTATTATAGTACAGTTCCCTCCTGACAGCCCATCTATGACCAGGAACATAATAGGAGGGATTTGCTGTTTGTGAAGCACTTTGATATATTAATGCATTATGCCACTAGGCCTTTTCATTTCTTTAATAAAAACAGAAGTTGTTGGGAACACGCAGCAGGTCAGGCAGCGTCTATGGAGGTAGAGGAAAGTGAGTTAACGTTTCAAGTCAATGACCTTTGGTCAGGACATCGACCTGAAAACTAACTTACTTTTCTCTCTCGCCATAGATACTGCCTGACCTCTGTGTTCCCAGCAACTTCTGCTTTTATTTCAGATTTACAGCATCTGCAGTGTATTGCTTTTTATTTCTTTGTTGATTAGATTATCTTTTCCTTCCTTCGATGTCTGGGATGTCTGACTAAGTTATTTTCATTATGGATTCATTTCTTTCTTTTGCAGTTTAACAGCTCTTGCAACATGCCAGTTTTGTTTATGGCCTGCCCATGTCTCTGTCCTGATGATACTTAATTCTAGGTAGATTGAATGTAAATAGCATTTGATATTTGACAAATGTAAGTTTATGGATATTGTTGCTAAAACAAGAAGAAAAGTTAATCACACATTGGTATTGTTGTATTAAATGGCAGCATTTACCAGTGCAGAGGAGGGCAAATGAAGCTGGTCTCCTCTGCTGCATATTGAGCATTAATGTTTATCCCATTTGTGGTAATTTAGTCTCTTATACTACAAATTTTGGTCACTTCACAGTGACTAACAACTAACTTTATTTACAAGCTGTACTGTGGTTAAAAAATACAATATTTCAGCAAATACTGAAATTTAAAAAATCTATTTTAAAACATAAAATATACACAACTAAGATGAAACAATATGAAACCGACTGCTACGATAGGTTCAAATAAGATCAATGGAATCATCTTCTATTTTTTTCTTCCTGGTCAGTGAATAGAGGGCATCGATTTAAGATAGCTAACAAACTAGGTAATGAGAGATTAGAAGATGTTTTCATGCACAGAGTAGTTAGGATATGGAATGTCCTGCCAGAAGCAGTGTTCAAGCAGAATCCATATTATCTTTCAAAAGGGAATTTGTTAAATACCTTAAAAAGGTATGACTCACAAGGGTATGGGGGAAGGGCAAGTAAACGGAAGATTGTTCTTAAAAAAACAAAATGGCCTTTTTCTGTGCTGTAAATTTCTATGACACTTAGTATTGTGAATTCTGACACTACACACAAAAGCTTTTGGCAGATGTATCAAGTTGAGAATTTTGTACTGATCACAAACCAATTACCATTTTGACCCCTTTAATGCCACTGTTTATTAGCCAATTAGAGGTCTTTAGAAGTAGTTTTCTTGAAACTTCAGTTACCTTCTACTTCTGGTTAGATTTTTTTTCCCAAGAGAGCAATAATAACATCTTGTGCATATTTAGCATGTTAAGTTTAGCTGATTTAAAATTACTTCATTCATTGGCTGTGGATACAATAATATCCATAGATTAGCTACAGAAAATCTATCAAGCACTCCCTTTGTCTACCTTGGAGCAAAGCACTTAAGTAATATGATTTCTCACGTTGTTATGCCAGTCCATCAAGTTTCACATCTCATGACAGTTTTATTTATTTTGTACACGTTCCAGACATTTCCAGAGAGAGAAACATTTAATTATCTTTTCAATATTTTAACAGTTATTAAAGGCAGTATCCACTCTTTTTTAAAATCACATTAGTGTTGTTAAAAGCCATGCTTTGTTTTTGCTGGAATATAATCCTTGAGACTAGACTACTTTGCAACATTACTGGATGTTCAACACCTTCCACCTCATGCATTAGTTGAAATTTGCTTCATTTTCTCTCAACTTCTTTCTCTTCATTCAGTCGCTGTCATTCTTACCCCTTTGTCATTCTCCCTACTATCCTCCATTTGGTTTATGGAAGTCGCCAGTGTAGCCACTGTTCTGTGATTGTATTATGGGTCTGGCAGCCCATAATCAAAATTGGAAATCTGTCTTGAACACTTTCACCCACCATTTGCTGTTGGCTAACTCTAACAATTTTTGTTCTGCACGACACCATTGCGTAATGATAATAATAATCCTTGCATTTGATATAGTGCTTTTCATGTCTTCTAGACGTATCAAAGTGCTTCACAGAATATACTGTAAAGTGAATTGACTGTATATTTGTGGGCGAACGAGGCAGCCAATTGCGCACAGCAATGTCCCACAAACAGTCGTAGATGGAAAATGACCAATTTATTATTGTTTTTTTTTTTGGAGGGATTATTATTAGGCGTGTGGAGTAAGGAAACTTGCCCAAGGTTTCGCCCTCTGCCTGGAATTGAACTCTGGTCTCTCGCTTTGGCAATATCCCACATTTTATGTATATATAAAAACTTTTGCATATTATTTTTCCTGCTCAGTGTTACCTAAATAATGTAGAGCAACTGAGGGGAAAAGACCCAAAACTATGTTGTATAATATTCAGTTACAGGTAGTGGTATCGGCTTCTGTTAATTTGGTAGTGGCGGTTGAGTGATCAGGGTCTTGTGATGTTATCCATATAATATATATATATGAATGATGGTGAAGCCATCATCTTTACAAAGTAGTGATGTTGTATCTTCAACTTCTGCATAGAAGAAAAATCCTGAATGTATGTGCATTTTTAAATAAGGACAGGGCTGTACGGTGAGCATGTTCACGTACGTGTCGCCACATTGCATTTCTATGACTTGATAAGGTGTGTCAATTGTAAGAATAATTGTTTACTCACAACTTGCTCTGCCAGTTGGACAGATTTAAGAAACTAATGTTAACAGCATCAACTCACCAATGGGCATATTTCTGCATAAAGGGATGACAGAAAATACTGATCAAGTAAACAATGACGACAACAAATTGCATTTGTATCGCGGGAAATACGTAAACACCAAATCATCATATGGTATCAAAAGTATTGCCATAATAGGAGCTGTTTACTGAAACCATCAACATTTTGTTCCTGCTCTGTAAATCATTGCTACCTAACTTGTTTCCATTATTATTTTAAAGTATTCCTAAATTGTATTGGCAAAGAGCTTTACCACTGTTATCCAGTCTATCGAGAAATATGCTAATTATTTACATACTATATGTCTATAGAGATTACAAAATATAGGGATATGAAAGATTAAAGCTACTGCAGCATTAAGTAGTGTGATTATACTGGCAAGTTTTGTAACTGCAGTCCAGTCTACAGAAATATGCTATTTCTTTGCAAATTTTGCATTTGTTGAAGTTGTCCAATATCATTCATCATTAAACATTAAGGATATTGCAACATTCTGAACTTTTTGGGTGAGCACCATGTGCAAACATTTTGAAATAACTTGAATCAACTAGGATGACTTGTTGTGTACCGCATTGTAATCTGACAAGTTTTCTTAGGGATTAATAAATTCTGACATCAGAAAATAAAGCTTCAATTTTGGAAACTGGGAAACAATTAGTTAATTGTTATCATGTGGAGATTGTATGTTACTGTAGGTGTTATGGATTCTTCCTTGTGTTGTAAAGTGAGTAATTATACAGGAGGGGTCGTCTTGAGGTGCTGAAGAGCTAGTGTTTAATGTGGCTTTGCAACATGCTGCTATACAAGCATGATATTGTTGCTAAGGATAAAGAGCTACTATAAAAATTAAAGTCACAAGACATTGGCAATTAAAGGGAATTATAAGGAAAGATGAATCTACCTACTGTAACTGGTTAATCAATAATTCTCACCTTGTATAGAGAAATTTGAAGTGGTGTGTGGAGATGTTTACTTCCAATAATTTTTCCACTTACCTGAAATCTTTAATGTATTTAATTAAAAGCAATCAACAGTTGTCTTTCCACTTATTTGTTGAATATGATGTTCTGCTGCATTAAGTTGTCACCTCTGTAATGTAGAAATGTCTTATTGGATTTTAAGCAAATATTTCATCAGCAATATTTTCAATTTGTTTCCTACGTTTCTAAGAAGCAATTAGCTTCAAAATACTGAACTGCAAAGAGACTTCAAGGTCTTGCTTTTTATATTCAGTTTCAAAATACTGTACATGTAACTTTCCATTTCCTTTGTGGCATACAAAAATGAAGTAATTTTTAAATGCAGTATTTCTAAAGTTTCACAATGTTCACATCAATCGTTGCTTGGAAGAGGTTATTTTTTCACATATACATTCTAAAAAGTAAAATTACAATTAAAGTATTGGTTGATTCCCCAAACCTAATTTTTGACCACTTCAAATTGCTTAATAAAGGCATTGTAGCTTTTTAGGGGAATAGGAGGAAAAACAATTAGCAGGTTGATTGTGGATAAAGGGAATCATTTTTATTTTTTTTTCAAAAAACTTGTGTTTTAAATAAGACTCCCAATAAGACTTTATATTTGTTTTAAATCTATAGTTGAGTTAAATTTAGATGCTACTGAGACTATTTTCATCTTATTTAATATAAAATAAACCTATTTCATACAAGAGTTAATTTGAAACCCTAATCCACCTAAGAAATTGAATTGAATGCTGATCATGTTGGGCATTAACTTAATGTTTCTGATGGTGCTAGATGTGACTTGTAGTTTATCCTGTTCAAATGCATTATTGGATGCTATTCCACTACATACTTATACTTGGTGGAGTAGTAGGAGTGATTGTTGGAACATTTTCCTTTCACCTATTTCCTCTACTATGGTTCTGTTACTTTCAATTCGTGAAGAACCAATGGGAAAAAAGTATAGGAGTATTTTGCTGTGGGTCTCTACATTCAGTTTGTAATTGTACATTACAGCTCTTCCAACGGCAAAATGCACTGACAGTACAACAGCTGACTGCAGCCCAACAGCAGCAGTATGCACTGGCGGCAGCCCAGCAGCCACACATAGGTAAGCAGCAAGAATAAGCTAAGCAGTTAGTATTTGTTGAGGTATACCCTTTTCCCTTAGTGAAGCCAAGTCTGAAACATTCCATTTGATTAAATGTGCACTAATTTTTGTAATCGTTTGTGAATTCTGGATGTACACTTGTGTAAAATGTTTAGCATAAAAATAAATCACACCAGCCAAATAGAATTGTTTCCAGGTTACTTAAAATAGTTGACAAATTTATCAAATGCATTGAGTTGATCTTTGTAGATAAAGGGTAATATTTGTGAAACAGATTCATTCAGAATGTACAGTGGTACTTAGTAATTTTACTGTGACAATGATATTGTGTAGTATAACGTGTGCAAAAATTAAAATTGTAATGTGCTTAATAGACCTGGTTTTCATACTCAAATGATATGAAAATTTGATTCTTAGCATAATTGAATTGTGAGCATTTAACACCTATGCACAAGTATAGTAGATTATAGTATGAATGGTATGGTTAGGTTAACCCTAATTTAAGTAACAATACTGTAATTGTTATAGTATATAAACAGGAGTTTACTTTGAACCCAGGAAAAATAGTCACTGAATCATGACCACCTTAGTTTCTTTTAATGGCGTTGAGCTAAAGATCCTGTTTGAGGACTGATATAAAACATCAGATCATCAAATCTCTAATTTTAGAAACAAATATATTAATCACTGTAAATAAATACCTATTAAATACTTTTAAGGATTGAAGGAAAAACAAATGCTGGACATCTACATCAAATTGATCAATATTTGAAGAACAATAATCGGATTGAAAAATAAATACGACTCCCAAAATATTACCCAACTATTTTTATATGCAAATTTGCCTTAAGTACTTTCTGAAGTTTTTTTTATTTCCAAGTATTGAAATATTGGAAATAACTTTTCATATTGTTTGATTTCATTCAATAGTATGTTGGTCTTTGCCCATTGGGGGAAATCACTCTTGAGCATTGATTCTTTCATTAAAATTGTATTTTTTTAATCTGCTGTACCAGAAACTCAATTGTGACAATTAATGCTAATACATCTTAGCACTAGAAGCAATTGAAAAATAAATGTTTGTTCCAATGTATGTTGATACAAAAACATCGTCCTCTTGAGTAATTTCACCAATGAACAAAGACCAGCATTCTGTTTGATAAGTTTCAACTTTAATCAAAGAAGGATGAAGACTGTAATGGATAATTACAATTTTATAGATTTCTCAATGTCTGAGGCTTGAGTAGTTATTAACTTTTAAATGTTATGGGTGCCAGTCTGTAGTTCATAACACAGCCATGTTCATGTTTCAGGTATGCATAGGAGCACAAATCCATATATATATATGTAATATATCTTGAGTTGTTGCATAGTAGGTAACTGAGAACATGAGTAGTATTTCCATTTAATTCTTCTATTCCCCCATCTTAGCATATTGTAGGAATGGTGCATTACCTTTGATTACATAAAGAGAATAATGCACAGCTCAGTGTACAATTGTGATTTTAATTCAAGATGATATTTTATATTTGCAGTTTTGCTAACAGTAGCTGTTCACCATTGCGGTTTCAAATACAAATACATATATTAGAATATTTACATTCATAGTAATGACATCCTTTGGATACTGTACCTCATTACACGACTAAATGTCATTTGGATGGATATGTGTCTGGGAGTTTTAACTGGCATTTTGCAGTGTAGACCGTGGAATGTTTAACTTAATGTTTGTGCTATTTCAAAAAGGATGTTAATCTCAAAATCATCCACTGGCTTCTTGTGTCCTTCTCACAGCCTTATTGTGTATTTCATTCACTTTCTCTTGTAAACTGGACCGAGCATGCAATGCTGTTATATTCTTGGCATCTCCTCAAAAGCCTAGTACAGTCATTAACAATAGCTCCTTCTGGCCAATTAAATTAACAGATCATTGCCTTTCTCAAGTTTACATTGTAAAGAGAAAATCATGGATAAAATCCAGTTTGATACAACTGTTGACCTCTCCTAATGATTTTACTCTCTGCCCCCCCCCACACACACACACACACACACACACTCCTCCAGCAAAATATATATCCATTGCTTTTTAAGATTGGTTGCTTCTCCCCATCATTGCTAAGTTATTTTCCTCCATTTATGTTCCCTGACTATTCCCAGACAATCAGACAGTGTTTCTATGAACTGGTTGGTAGGAGATTTATGAAAGTGGTGTCAGTGAGCTTGCTGTCATTTTTTTCCCCCTCTAATCTTGCTTATGGTTGCTATCTCCCTCATTGACCTGTTTGAGATTTGAAGCTCAGTATATGAAATCACAGGCAAATATAATGCAGCATTTGGCCATGCTGTTCCCTTTTTTAAAAAAAATGTGGGAGGGGTGGGGGGGTTGCGTGTGGAACTGGTGTCCTATTCAGGGAATGCCCTTCACTTGTCTGTGATGATATTATTTGTGGATAATTTCCAAACAAATTAGTTATTATACCCCATGTTTTTCTTCTTCTCGGACAGCAGGTGTGTTTTCAGCAGGCCTTGCTCCAGCTGCTTTTGTGCCAAATCCTTACATCATCAGTGCTGCCCCACCAGGCACAGATCCATACACTGCAGCAGGACTGGCTGCAGCAGCTACTTTAGCAGGTGAGAGTTGATATGGTGGCATAACAGCTATTAATAGGTTATCAAAAGCATATGCAATGCGCATGGTAACTTAACTATTTCACTGAGGGTGAGTTTGATTTTTAAAAGATGACAACAACTTGCATTTATATAACGCACTTCACGTGGGTCAGCGCTTCAGAGCACTTAACAGTAGCCGGGAAGGGGTGGGGGGATGACTGTAAGCACTGTCAAAGATCACAGATAAGTATATTTTAATAGTTTTGAATGTAACAAAGTTAGTGTTGTAGCTGCACCATTAATATTTGTTTTCATTTTGAATATTTAAAATTGTTGAGACTTACCTCTTGGTCATAGTTTGAATATAAGCAGCATTTGTGAATTTGGAAAGTGTAAAATATCTATTTACTATCTATTACTTAACTACACCGTATTCCAACATTATACATGTTGAGTGGTTGTCTTGGTAAAAATTCTAATAGAACGATGTTCAAAATCATATTTTATTGATAATGGATTTGATGCACTTTGAGATGTCTGAACGATGTAATAAGGTGCTATATCAAATGCAAGGATTATTCTCTCCATGATAACATATTAGTTTAAGTTCATAAAATTGCGTCCAGCCTTATAATGGGGCCTGATAGCTAGTCAGTGCTTCACATGATTGGTGATACCATTGTACAGAAAGCCAATACTGTGCAACATGCAGGAAGTCACATTGGCAGCAGCCTGACAACCTGGAAATCATTGGAAGTGGGTCCCCAGGCACCTGTATTCTAAGCAAACCCACATACAACAAAAACAAAGCACATTATAACAGGGCTGAACTATATGCAGTGCTAGTCAAGATTACTGGACTGCACGAAGGTTGTGTACCATTATTAATTCACCATTGCACCTTTTCATCCTAGGCCCCACCGTTGTCCCACCTCAGTACTATGGAGTCCCATGGGGTGTGTATCCAGCCAACTTGTTCCAACAGCAAGCAGCTGCAGCAGCTGCAAGCAACTCCGCCAATCAGCAGGCTGCAAACCAGGCCCAGCAAGGGCAGCAACAAGTATGTCATCTTTATGTTTAGTTACCAATTCATCCTCCGTAATAAAATGGCATCACTACATCTTTGTGTTTTCAGTAGATAGAGCTGTATGTAAATAAAAAAAAGTTGAAAGGTATGGTATAAAGAAATCTACTAATTCTGATTTTTTTGGGAGACAATGTGTTTAGTATTGGATTTTTTTTAAAAAAAGGTTAAGACTTCCTTTTTTTTACAGATTTTATCTGGTGTAATTTTGATTTGATTAAAAGCTAGATCTACTCTACTTACCTATGTTGTTGTCAGTGTTTAATATGTTAGTAATGGCTGAAAACGTTTATGTGAAAATAAAATGTTGACTTTTATCTACTTTTGTTAAATAGGTTCTGCGTGGTGGCAATCAGCGTCCTCTCACTCCAGGCCAGGGCCAGCAGGTCAACAAGCGGACTCACTAGCAGCTGCAGCCAATCCAGCTCTTGCTTTCAGCCAAGGTCTCGCTACAGGAGTGCCAGGTACTGTATATCCATTTGTGTGTAGGCAATTAGAGTTGAGGATATTGCAGCATCTGCTGACCTCACAATATATCCCTGGTGTAAGTTTCTCACTTTCCATAAAGGAAATGCCTCATTCTCTCAATGCCATATAACCTATCTTATTTTGCCCTTTTTAACTTGTTAATTTTCATTTTAGTTGCCCTCCACTGCAGGTATAACTGTTCATTATTTTTCGTTCCTTGCATCTTTTTAAGTTGTTTCTGCAAGAGCGTTAAGTTAATTTTGACCCCTCCCTACCCCCAATTCAGGCTCTATGATATTACTATATTTCACCTTTGCATGGTAGCATACATCCATTCCGCACAGAAATAAATTGACTTAATTTTTCTTATTTTAATCTCGATTCACTCCTATGGTTTTAGAAACATAGAAATCTACAGTGCAAAAGGAGGCCATTCAGCCCATCAAGCCTGCACCGGCTCACGTAGCAAGGAGATCACTTCAGTCCCACTGCCTCACCTTAATCTCCATACCCCTTCAAGCCCCACTCTTACATATGCCTGTCTACTTCCCTCTTGAAAGCTACAATGGACTCCACATCCACCACACTACTCGGCAGGACGTTCCAAATACCAACTACTCTGGGTGAAAAAATTCCACCCAAGTTCTCCTTCTGCTCTTCTTGTGGCTGTCTTATAACAATGTCCCTAGTTACTGATTCCCCTATCAATGGAAATAACTTCTCTCTATTTACCCGAACAAAACCCCTCATGATTTTGTATATCTCAATCAGCTCCCCCCCTCTACCTTCTCTGCTCCAAAGAAAACAGGCCCAGCCTCTCCATTCTCAAGATGCACAAACATCTTTCCTGAAGTGAGGTGCCCAAAACTCAACAAAACTCTAGTTCCAGCCTGACCAATGATTTATGCAAACTTAGCATCATTCCTTTTCTTGTAGTTGAAATGTTGGTTCATCTTCAATTTTGCACAATTTCTTGATTTCTGTATCAAATCAGCTATATGGTCATCATTGAAATTTGAGTGTTCTGTGGGCTGACAAAGTACACCAAATATATCATCTGCCCTAGATTTATTTTTCATCCTCTAGGCAATACTGATTACCTTCTGTGAAAATTGTTTGTACTTACAACTGTCTCTTGTGGTTTTCCATGCTGTTTCTACTTTACCACTGGGATATTACAATGCTTATCATGCAGATTTCCTGCCACCTTTTACTTGTACAATTCTCTACGTATTCATCTTGATTTGGTGGTAGTTGTCAAGTACAATTTTGTTGGCCGTATCATTACTAATTTTCACCCAGATTTCATGTTTTATTTCCCCTTTGCTGTGATATTGTTGGTAATGCTACTCCTTTACTTCACTTAATATCAACTACCCATGGAAACTTTGCTCAGTGCAACTTTTCGGAGTGGCATTCCTGCTGGTTGGCATCACATAGTTCTGGTTAACGCAAATGGTCTTCTGGGAGATTCCTTATTAAGGGGTCCAATGCAAAATGAACTTGGGTTTGTGATACCAGCAAACAAAAAAACAGCTGGACACTATGCTTGGTGTTACTGGCCAATAATTTATCTGCAGCATAACTAAACCAGCAGCACAAAGAAATATTATCAAGCTACGGTATAGGGGTTGGAAACTGAGAGAAAGTCAGGGATAAAGAGAAAGTTAGAGCCGGAGCTAGAGAGAGTCAGCCTTGTGAGTGTTCACAGGCAAGTCAACCATTAGGGAATATCACAGCCAAGCCCAATCCTGTCCTCATAAAACATTCACCCATGCACGCTTTCCAGGAATCGTTGGATAGCGATCAGGAGTGAGATGCCTGGCTGATTTTCTTTTCTCTCTTTTCCCCCTCTAGCTCAGGGGTGCTGAGACCAATTGCAAAATCCCTACTGTTGCCCTGGCTGCTTTCAGCTAATTCAGCGCAGATTGGGAATCAACCGTGGGACCATCTTTGACTGTATGATTCAGTTCTGCTTTGAACAGCTTGTCAATTGAACTATCAGAGGGGTGTACTTGTTCCTTAAGTGTAAAAGTTACTATCCATGTACAACTTTAGTCATCATAGTTAGCTTAAAGTTACACCTTTTTTTTCTCTTTCTTTCTCTTGTTGTCTCGCTCTCCCCTCCCACCCTCCCAAGCATAAGCTTTAAGCAAACTATGACGGTCTGAGAAATAAGCAATTTAACTGCAGCTTTTCTATTTTATGTAGGTTATCAAGTTCTAGCCCCAGCTGCCTATTATGATCAAAATGGTACCTTGGTAGTGGGACCTGGAGGAAGGGCTGGACTGGGGACACCAGTTCGGCTAGTGGCTTCAACACCTGTTCTCATCAGTCCTGCCGCAGCACAGGCTGGTAAGTTCAAACTTATTACTGCATACAAATACAATAATTTTGATATACAAGATGCCTCTACATACGAATAGTATGTTGCACTTCTTCATGCCTTCACTTTTTTTTACAGTAATTTGTCTTATTCCTTCATTGAGGCTTTTCTTGATTATTTTCCGGTAATACTCAAAAAGGTTGTATCGGTCTAGATATATTTTGCATTGATTCAGTCTTATGGTTTCAATACATGTCTACTTATGCTTTGTAAAATCCTTTGGAAGCAAGCATTTTGAATGCTGGTCTTTAATTCTTCTCATTGGAGCATTGCAAGCATGTTGCCGTAATAAGACCTAGTTACCAAAGGGGGAAATATCTTAGATGTTTTTAACAGCCTTTGCAGCTACACTTCCTATCTCTCCCACCCCCACACACACACACAACAAATTACACTTGTATAGCACCCTTCATGTCGGAAAGACGTCCCAGGGCGCTGGAAAGTCAGGGTTTTCTGCACCTGAGCTGGGGTTTGGGGTCAGGAGGGCAGGGAGTGATGGGGATGGGATGGTGGCTAAAGGCACGGCCGAAGAGGAAGGTCTTTAGTTGGTATGTGAAGGAGGCAAGAGATGGGGCAAGGCGGAGGGATTGTGGGTTAGAGTTCCAGAGTGTGGGCGCAGAGATGCTGAATGCCCGACTGCCAATGGTGGGGTGCGGAGTGTGGGAGAACCTGAAGCAGGCCGGTGTCCGTTGAGCGGACAGTCTCATGGGGTTAATAAGTCAGAGAGGTAGAGGGGGAGCAAGACCGTGGAGGGCTTTGAAGGTGAGAACAAGGGTTTTATAATCGGTTCTCATGAGGGATGGGGAGCCAGTGAAGTTGTGCAAGAATCTGGGTGATTGGTTTGCAGACCTTGGTGCCGGAGAGGACATGAGCTGCAGAATTCTGACTAATCTACAGTTTGTGGAGGGAAGAATTGGGAAGTTCAGCGAGTAGGCAGTTGGCGTAGTCAAGCCGGGACGTGATGAAAGCCTGCATCTCACACATGCACACATTATTTTCCTAATTAATATATTACCAGTCACAGGTTTCACATCTGGCAGCCATGGCACAAAGGTTTGATTGTTTTTATTGGTGTGTATCTGTGCATGTATATTAGTTCTCCTTTAAAGATTTTTGTTTCCTCCTTTTTCCTATCCCTCTACCTCTCCAGGTTTTCCTTTAGAATGGCTTCAATTTGAAGAGTAGCTTTAAGTGTCCCCTCTCTTTATAAATCTTGAGGGTCATTCTTGATGAAATGCAGTCTCCGTTATTGCAGCATGTCTTGATTTCCAGCACTATTAACCTATTTTTCTGAAAATCCCTGCGACAGTAGTTTAAGAATTTGCTGGCTTTTGAAAACTGTTTAAGTATAAACAGTATAAATTCTACTTCCATGTGAAAGTTGTGAAATATCTCTAGTGTTCTAGATTTGGCATTTTGGCATATATCTTTGCCTTTCTGTTGAGTGGTGTTCCTGGTCTTCAGATCCTGCCACAATCTTGCCCCACCTTACATATGCAATCTTCTTCCGCCCTTCATTATTTCAACCTGTGCTTTCAGCTCTTCTGACTCTGGTCTATTGCTTGCTCCACACTCTTTACTCCATTACTCCATAAATCCTATTAAATAGGATCAGAATCTGATTGCGTGCAAGGTGTTCTTTCGAATTCCTGTCTGCTTCTAATTGTAAAAATTCTCACATGGAGAACATACATGTTTATTAGTTCAGTCAAGAGTGTCAATGAACTTGAGGTTGTACATTTTTAAATGTTTGTTCTTTCACCTTGGATGAACATAGAACTATTACACTGCATTTATAATGTCTCTCCATGTGGGCTATTTGCCCCTTTTCAAGAAACTGGCAATCTATTTTGTCATGCACTTTAAATTGGGTAATCCAGTTTCATTGTGTGGATCTCTTTTATGTTGATGGGAACAAGACTATTCTTAAAACACTATTTATGTAGGATGTGTGTTCAGGTGGGGAAATGATGGGGGCTTTAGTCCTTTTAGTCATCAAATTAGGTTTGCATCGGTGGCTGTTTCAGTAACGTATGGAAATTGGATTTTTTTAAAAAAAATTATGCCACTGATTTTTTTAACTTAAATATTTGGTATTGTCCTATTCAACAGCTGCAGCAGCTTCAGCTAATGGAACAGCAAACAGCTTAGGGACAGCAAATGGCCTTTTCCGTCCAATGGGAACTCAGCAACAGCAGCAGCAGCAACAACAGCAGCAAAACAACAACCTACAGTCGAACTCATTTTATGGCGGAAACTCACTGTCAAATAATTCCCAGAGTAGTTCTTTGTTCTCTCATGGGCAAGGGCAGCCAGGCAACACCTCACTTGGCTTTGGAAACAGCAACTCATTGGGTGCTGCTATTGGTTCAGCACTTGGAGGATTTGGATCGGCAGGTAAATCAATCTCATTTGGAGTTGGCCTCTCTCCATCTTGCCCGATTTAGCTTTTGTTTCTCCTCTGATTTTAGTTAGTCAAACAGGTTGTGAGAATAGCATACGTTTAGTTCCATTGTGATCTAGAGGGCAAGCTAGAGCAAAAATAACCACAGTTAATGGAATGGTTAGAGGGGATAAATGTATACAACAATCCTTTATTACCTAACTGGAAATACAATTGTAATGTGGAAAGCGTACATTGCCATTCCTTTTAAGAAAATGAGAATTTTTTTCCAGCTGTACTGAAGAAAAACACCTACCGTTACAAATATTTGAAGTGGCCAAGGACCTCTCCTTCAGCTGCCTGCACAGTTATAAAAACAATGTAGAAATTAGTTCAAACTTTGGTGCCTTTTTTTTAAAGTATTGGCGTAGGAAATGCATGTACTAATAAAATAATAAATCTTGTAGTTGATATAATGCCTTATCACTTTGTTGAGATGTCTCAAAGTGCTTCACAGAATATAATGTGAAGTCAATTGGCATGCTATGTCAATTTATGAAAGAGAGAGCAGGGTCCTATAGGCCTAGAAACATCTCCTGACAATTACAAAGCCACTAAACTTGATTTGTTAGCAGGCCCAGTGCTACTAAGAAATCTAATTCATTGATTGATGATGGTATACTGAAGTTACCATCTTCACAAGTGCAGGCTTGGGCCTAGTTGTAACATTTCCTCATTTGAAATGATGTAATACTGATTGTTTCTGGTATCCAAATTTACATGGGAGCTTCAGCTGGTGACATCCATCGACTACCCTTCTCCTACAAATGGCAGAAGCAGATGCCTTTTTAGGATCCAGACACTCGTCAGATATCTCTACCTATTTAATAGATTTTGTCCAAATGGATTCAATAATAGGCCTGCAAATCTGAAATCCATGTCAGTGCTTGCAGTGACGATTCCTTGTCCATTTTTAATTTGTTCATGCACAAATTAATTGGGTGTTAGATATTCTGAGAAATTCTACTTCGGTGCAATTCTGTTAACATTTGTGGGGAATTGCAATCAATATAATTAACTAATGGAGTATTCTTTGAAAAGCTTATTTTATGCCTGAAAGCATACTGTCACATGTGACTATCACACATACAGTATTTTAAAGTACAAATCAACATTTACTTTTGAATTTTCTCTCAAAAATCTAGTTCTCTGGAAAACATGTTTTCATTTACAGTCCCAATAGTTTGCATAGGTTTGTGGAATGTAACATTTTGCATTACATTCCAAGGCAACAAAACCGCTTACTGCATAAGGTAGAAATTCAAATATTATAGGAATTTACAGTGTTGAAAGCTTGCTTGAATGAGTTTTTAAATGTTCCTCTGCAGTTGGAAAAAGCATTAATCTAAATTTTAGTACTAAATCATTGGTTAAAAAGTTATTCAAATATTAAATCGAACAGCATTTTCAATACCCATTTTGAAATCCTGTTTTACAGTTGGCAACTCTGGAAATGCTGGTATATCCAGGAGGGACTCGTTGTCTGCTAGCTCTGATCTGTACAAGCGATCAAGTAACAGTTTGGCTCCTATAGGACAGCAGTTCTACAGTGGCCTGGGGTTCTCTTCTTCCCCTGGTCCAATTGGCATGCCTCTCCCTAGTCAGACTGCTAGTCACTCTCTGACACCACCTCCATCTCTCTCCTCGCATGGGTCTTCGTCCAGCCTTCATCTTGGTAGGTTTGCTATTTTGTGCATTAATACTTGTTTAAAATCTTAATATTCAGGACTTCAGCTCATAAGTAAAGAGTAGGTTTACATTGATGCAAAGTCTTGTGTGTTTTCATTTGTAGAGTTTTGACAGGAGTCAGAATCTCATGCAGTGGGTAGTGAATTTTATAAACTGGAAATGATAGTCTAGGTTTTGCAGTAATGTACCTAACATTGATGGATATAGTAATCACTGGTGACTTAATATGTTAATTAACTGTGTTGCTCCAGTGGAGGAGCTTAGCACCAGCGCAGGCACAGGGGTCCAATGGCCACTTTCTGTTTTTATCACATCAATGATTTTGAAACATTCCATACGAACCTGTATGGTTTTTAGAATTGACTTGTACATGGGTTTATGCTCATTTGAATCCAGAAGTAATCTGCATACATTCAAGGAAAATTGCCGGAGTGGAGTATTAGAAAGGCAACTTACAAAACTGCATTTTTCCTGTTTGAATTTTGTCTGAATAACATACACATAATTTACATTTTGACAAATATACTGTTACTAAATGAAAGGAAAGGTTTTGAAGTGCTGTTACTAAGTACATCAAACTATTGTAATCTTGAGCACACATGTATTTACATTAGTACGCTAGACTACGGCCAGACTACGGCACTACCTCACCCCTCGCCAGACTACGGCACTACCTCACCCCTCACGCTGCTGAAACTCTGGTCCACGCCTTTGTCACCTCAAGGCTGGACTATGGGAACTCTCCTCGCCGGCCTTCCCGCCACCTCCCTCCACAAGCTGCAGGTCATTCAGAACTCTGCAGCTCGTGTACTGTCCCGCACCAGGCTTCGCGACCACATCACTCCCACCCTCGCTCACCTCCACTGGCTCCCCATCCCCCAGAGGATTGATTTCAAGATCCTCATCCTCACCTACAAGGCCATTCACGGCCTTGCTCCCTCCTACCTCTCCAACCTACTATCCCCCTACCTACCTGCCCGTACCCTCCGTTCCTCTGGCTCTGGTCTGCTTCACGTCCCCGCCCCAACCGCCCTACCATCGGTGGTCGGGCCTTCAGCCTCTCAGCCCCGAGGCTCTGGAACTCCATCCCCAGTGCCTTCACCTTTCCTCCTCCCTTTCCTCCTTCAAGGCCGGTCTCAAAACCTTTCTCTTTGACCGTGCCTTCAGCTCCCCTCTCGACTCTCTTCCCCTCCTCGCTCCCTCCCTTCCCTCCCCTCACCCTGACCATTTCCCCCTCCTCGCTCCCTCCCTTCCCTCACCCTGACCATTTCCCCCCTGCTCGGGTCATGACCCAACTGTGCAGCGCCTTGGGACGTCCTCCTGACGTGAAAGGCGCTTTATAAATGGAATCTTGTTGTTGTTGTTGTTGTTGTTGTAGTACAATTTTAACTGTTTTGAGTTTTTAGAAAAAGATAAGGTAATTGAAGAAGAGCCGGTTTTGGATGTAAACCGTGAGCTATTGTACAGAAGAATTATTGAACTTTTATGTTCAGTACAGTGTGCGTTGATGGGGTTCTCCTCTTCCCCTGGTCCAATTGGCATGTGTTGATATTGTGTGTTACCAATATAGGTGGACTGACAAATGGTAGTGGGCGATTCATCTCTGCGGCACCAGGAGCTGAAGCTAAAAATCGCAATGGGATTAATTCATCGAGTTTGTTCAGCTCCAGCAGCCAGCTCTTTCCTCCATCTCGCCTTCGTTACAGCAGGTCTGACATTATGCCTTCGGGCCGAAGCAGGCTGCTTGAAGACTTCAGAAACAATCGTTTCCCCAATCTTCAGCTCCGCGATCTGGTTGGTCACATTGTGGAGTTCTCCCAGGACCAGCATGGTTCTAGGTAGGTTGGTATGTTCTCATGGTTCATTCAAGTTGTATAATAACAACTTGCATTTCACGCAGGTCAGTGTCTCGGATCACTTAATATTGATATAGTGACATCCAGTTTAGCGCTATCTCACCTCTAAGCTGGAACGGTGGTACACCTGGCGTTCAGCATTAAAAATGATCCAATTCTGGGCCATATTCTCAGTGCTAATAGCATTAGAAATGAAGCAGAGACTTGGAATGTGGCACTGCCCACAGGTCATCGTAATTAGTTTCAGATTGGACTATATTTCAGATCACCTACAATAACATTAATGTCTAAAACCACATGATTAGGGTATTATGAAACGCCCTGTAGAGGAGGATTTTTTAGCTGACATAGAATCGGCATTGCTCGGTGATGCATGTCAAAGTTACGGTAATGTAGACTTGTGCACCACACATTTTGAGCAAATAACTAAATTATTTAGGTTGCTTACTTGTGAAAGTAACTGCCATTGTGATTTATTGTATTTTTTTAACCAACAGATTTATCCAACAGAAGTTGGAACGTGCTACACCTGCAGAACGGCAGATGGTTTTCAGTGAGATCCTACAAGCAGCGTACCAACTGATGACTGATGTGTTTGGAAATTATGTAATTCAGAAATTCTTTGAGGTAACTGTATTTTTATGAAGTATTTCATTTGAAAATTATCTCGAGTGTTATCTTAACTTATTCTGAGTACCTTTTCAGCTCTTTCTATTGGTTTTATTAGAGTAGCAGGAAGGATCCTTGAATGTAGGCTTAAGGGCTGATTAACATTGCAGTGACTCATCATTGATGAGTTACACCATTGCTTACACACAAATTAATGCTGCCACTTTCTGAAATTCTACAATATAAAAACATTGAAAAAGGTTAAAGATTAGACAAAAGCACATTTGTAGTTGTGCGTGTTTTCTGATGTTTTAAAACCAATAAATACCGGGGACTGTGGTAAGGAGGAAGTTAGAGGTATTGCAAACTTTATAAACTATTTGGCTAATGTTTGGAATTTTAGTTCGATTTTGAATCATGAATTTATTTTAATCTTTTCAGTTTGGAAGCTTGGATCAGAAACTAGCCTTAGCTCAACGTATTCGTGGCCATGTTTTACCCTTGGCCCTTCAGATGTATGGCTGTCGTGTTATTCAGAAGGCACTGGAGTCCATATCAGCAGACCAGCAGGTAATTGTAAGTTTGAGCTTTTTTATATATAAATGAACCTATTCTAAAATTATAAGATTCTATTGGCTATTAATTTAGTAATATTTTTCTTCTGAGTGAAGTAGTATCATTTAGTTTGACCTCTTTTATTGCAGAATGAGATGGTGAAAGAACTGGACGGTCATGTTTTGAAGTGTGTTAAAGACCAAAATGGGAATCATGTGGTTCAAAAGTGCATCGAGTGTGTACAACCACAATCTTTGCAGTTCATCATTGATGCTTTTCAAGGACAGGTGAGCACTTAATCTGTTATCTTGTATTTCCCTTTGGACCATTTGTTTACAAATACCATGAGCATTGTTTATGAATTGTATCAGGTTAAAACATATATCAGTGTCAACCAATTGGTTAGCGTTTGCCAAATTAAGACAAGGACATCTCCTTGTACTACCTGAAATCTCACCCTCGGCATTTGTGTTGAGAAATAAAACATCTGTATTTTCTTTTTTTAAAAAGTGGAACCATGGGCAGAATCGGTCTTTATTGGACTAACATGCATAGTGTTGCTCTGTGGACCTCTACCACCCAACTTTCACTTGTTGCTGAAACTTGTCAAATGAATACAGATGGGCAGCATGCATATATACATGTTCAATAATGCATTTTCTTTAAGTGAACTGATCACACCTGTTAAATAAATGGCAGTATTCACTTTGAAATAGTTCAAAGTTGGTGTTATCACCAATAGGCTTTCTCTAATGTAAGGATGATAACTGAGAAGATTAAATGTTTCTGTCAGTTTTTAGTTCTATCACCAGCAAAATTTGTGGTAGTGCTTCATCAATTTTTATGAGTCAATGGTAAAGAACATTGCTGAGTTGTCGTATTGTTGTGAAATTCTCATTTAATGTTGAACAACCATTTTTCTGTGTTAAACTTCAGGTATTTGTGTTGTCGACTCATCCTTATGGTTGCCGAGTTATTCAGCGTATTTTGGAGCACTGCACACCTGAACAGACACTTCCAATCCTAGAGGAGCTGCATCAGCATACAGAGCAGTTAGTGCAGGTAAGGTCCAGTCAACAGACAGCAACAAAGCTGTGAAAGCTATGTGTGCTTTATAGAATTTGTGCTGTTTGCATATATACAGCACAATGAACATGTATTTTCAAAGTGGGGACTTGTATTTTACACTAAATACATCCTAACTTGCACAATCTGTCACCACCCACGACGTGCATCCACTGTCTTTAATTACGAACTGTCTGCTTACCTGTGCAGAGTACTCCGTGACACGATGCCAGCCATCTTTTAAGAAACAAAGTAAGTAACTAAAGCAAAAAAAAAGTATGCAATATATATGTAAAACAGATGGTTGGTAATGCATTCCTGAAGTCTATACACTTCATTTGTTTTGGGCTTTTATGTGCAGTCCTGACAGTGTCAGTAATGCAAACCTGAGTTTAATTTAAAAAGACAAAAACACTTTCAAATAGAGATTCCATTCATCCTTGAGTTTTGGAACCCAAGAATCTGTATTCGAAGCTGAATTGAAACTAACATGTAGTGCACAGATCCTTGGTACACACCATTCTTAATTACATCTTATTTATTTCTTCCCTTGCCACAAAATCAGCTAACAAGATATATTCTATACATCGCTTGAATTTCCTCTCATCACCATGCACATTAAACTCATACCTAGCACAAACTTCTCAATGAACGCCTCAAGTAGCTGAATGAACCATACCTGAGTAGATTTTGGGAAGAAACTTATTTTGATTCTGTATTTCTAACTTTCTCGTACAAACACAGGTAACAGATCAGTGAATCTTTTTGAACTTGCGTACCAAAAAATGACAAAATATAGATTTGTTAAGTACAAAACATTTACAAAAATAATTTGTCCAATGTTACACTGATGGAGGTGGAAACTTGGGTGTCAGTGGATGATCTCTCTGTGTTTCTTGCCAACTGGTAATGTTGTTTGCTCACATGTTTTAAACTGTTGCTTTCCAACAGTACTTAGTGGCAGGTTGCAATCCTCATGAGTGAAAAAAGGGGAACAGCATTCACATGGTCAGATTTCCAACTCTTGTGACAATAGTGATAAAACCTGGACACTGTGCTTGTAACTTCTAATCATTTTTTCCCAAATTTGCCGTAACTAGCCTTGATAAAGGAACTAAATTCCATTCAGCCAGTACAAGCTAGAAACAAAATAAAACTAATAAGAACAAAAAATTTTAAAAATATGTTCATTAAGCCACAACTAGAATATTCTGTGTAGTTTTGGGCTATTAGAGCTATGATGAGGGTACCATAGATCCATGAGAATATGGTTAACAAGGAGGGATAGTTATGAGGAAAAGCTGAAGAAGTTGGGACTCTTGCTGGAGTAGAGAGTGTTGAGGTGTGATGTGTTAGAACTTTAAAATAATCAAATGTCCTTTTTCTGTGCTGTAAATTTCTAAACGGTAAGAAAGTAGTTGGTGGTTCAGAAATTTAAGATTACAAACCAGGTGCATGAAAGAGGAAGTGAGGGGATGGGGAATTTCTCTGAGGGTTCTGAATATGGAATGGGGTAGTAACTTTGAAGCAAAGTTGATTGGGACAAAATAGGGAATTAGTTAGCTATGTGCCTATTGAATCAGAGGGTACAGGAAAGGGTAATGAATTATAATAATCCTTGAGTTTGATGTAGTGCTTTTTGTGTTGGAGCGGTATCTCAAAAGCATTTCACAGGATTTACTGCAACGTGTGGACTGTGTTTTGTATCCAAATTGGCAGTCAATTTGGACAGACCAATGACCCACAAACGGCCATGAAGTGAAATCACCAATTGTATCATTGAATAGATATTAAGATTAGGATAGATGGCTTCACAGGACGAGCAAATATCGATCCTAATGCAGTGAGTCAGGCAGTGTACATTCTGTGTTTAAAGTTGTTATAGTTTCTTATTTAGAAACCTAGATAAAATAAATGAACATAATAATTGATAAGTAAATTGATAAGTTTACTTGTCAAGATAGTGGAGAGCTAGTAGATTTATGTATTCATTAACAACATCCTCCAGCTGTTTTCAAAAGCATTTCTGATTTAATGAACCTCACAGTCTGAGGGTTCCATTAGCTTAAAAACTTGAAATAGTTTGCAGGCAATGAAAAGATGCTTGTAAGTGTATTTTGGAGGAGGAACCAGGGGATACAAGTTAAATGTTATAATATTAATGTTCTAGGTTGAAAAGAGATTAAAAAGTTGTAATTAATTGTAATAAAATATAGAGACAACCGGATACAAGTATAAAATAAAGGGTTTTTAACAATGTTTGTAAATAATTTTGGGTTTATATTATGGTACTAAAGCTATCCCCGTTGTTTGATTAGTTTTAATACCGGAATTTTAATGTGACATTTTCCAGAGTCTGTGTGTGTGCTGAAAATAAAATACAAAAGATAATTAAAGAATGAAATGTATTTTTTAATTGAGGGAAACATAATTGTGTAAAAAGGAAATTGACAAAAGAGTACAATTGTGGGGGTGAAGAAAGAACATCTTTTTATAGATTGCAAATAAAGCCTTCAGGTATTTATGACACTTCTATCATTTTAGTAACTGATTAAATTTACAGATTTAATTAAGAAAAAACAACTGCAGGCGTTGAATGAATCAAAAAGACCTATAGGCAGGCATGGATTCCATTCTCAGTTTTAAAGGAATTGAAGCTTAAATTATAAAGGATACATTTCAAGTTCATGCAGAATGTTTCGAAATGTAAAATGTTCCGGTTTTCATTTTGTTCTGATGTGCAAATAAGAATATTTGAGAATATCTCTAAAAGTGTAACCAAATTTCATTTGTAGGTTGCACTGAATTTGTATATAACTTTTTTTATATATTAGGATCAGTATGGCAATTATGTCATCCAGCATGTACTGGAGCATGGACGTCCTGAAGATAAGAGCAAGATTGTTGCTGAAATAAGAGGGAAAGTTCTTGCTCTAAGTCAACACAAGTTTGCCAGGTACGAGAGTTTTATCAAGTTACAATGGACCTGCCTACATGAAATACTATCCCATATTGAATACTAATCAGAAATAAAATCACTTTTACTACTTTATTGAAGATGCCCGTAATTGAATCACATTCTTGTGAGCAGAATTTAAATTATACAAAATTAGAAGTGAACAACATGGAGCACAAAAAAGATTTTGGGTGGTTTCAATTTACCCCAGGAGTTGGCCTTTTGTCTTTCCAAGATGTTTAGCAGTCAACTGAAGTAACTGATAAAAGGCCCTTCTTAATCTTTAAAGTTTTGTTTGATTTTGGTAAACACAGTTTCAAAGTTCCTGTTTTTGCATATTCTATAGAGCTCCACCTCATGATGAAAATCGTAGTGCGGGGCGCAATGACAGCAAAGATGTGGAAGTAAAAAGATTGGTGTGATTTATTGGTTGTTTTCTCTGTTTTTACTCTACGTTATCCAGAAATATTTAAATATTAGCTCATGTTTCCAAGGGTGTTTGAGTAACTTTAAAATGTTTATTATAATCCTTGCACTTGCATCACGCCATCTCAATGTCTCAAAGCTTTTCATGAGATTTGTAGAGTGTGGTGACGGTGTATGTGACTATAGGTGAACACAATGTGCAATTTACACTCAAAAATTGCCCACCAACAGCCATGAAATAAATTTTTTCTGGGGGTTTGTTGGCTGGGACACCAGGAGAGACTCCTTTTTGAAAAGTGCCATGGGATCTTTAATGCCCATTTAGGCAGGCAGGACTTTGGTTTAACGTCCCATATGAAAGATGGGACTCTTAACAACGCAGCACTGCACAGAATTATTAATCTCGACTTGGGCTAGCAATGTCCTAATTTGAGCCTAAACCCAGAGGTTTTGATTCAGAGACGAGAATGAGCTCAGATGACACTTGTAGGAGTAATGGTAGTTGAGTCGTTTCCACTGTGGCAGATGCTAATTCTGTTTCCATTGATTTTCTCTCAATTGCTTTAATACTCTTACTTACAACTCTGAGTAATAAAACACAAGTTTATCAGACTTTCATGACGATGTTATCACTGGATGTTAGATGTGGGCCCAAACCTTAATGTAGTCTGAACATGAGAGGGTTTGATGAGCCTAATGGCCTTGTCTTTCTCCATGTTTTCTTCTTGTGACTAAAGATAATAATAATTCTTGCGTTTGGTATAGTGCATGATCATATCTTTGAGACATCTCAAAGAGCTTCACAGAATATACTATTAAGTGAATTGACTGTATATTTTGTGGGTGAATTGCAGCAGCCAATTGCACACAGCAGTGTCCCACAAACAGTCGAGGAATGACCAAATTATTGATTTTTTTTAAGGGATTCTTTGCCCAGAAAGTTATCCGCCAATCGACTAACAACCGGGTTCCTACTTACTGCTGGGTAAACAAAGGGATGCGGAGTAAAGAAACTTGCCTCATGTTTCGCCCTGCCAGGAATAGAACCCAGGCCCTCTCGCTTGCGAGGCGAATGCTCTAACTACTAAGCTAAAGGACGCCACTATTTAGATGCTTATATTTGATCAATGGAGTCTAAACCGCAATGTTCACAATCTGGATTATTTGTGTTAATTAAAATGCACTCCAAACAAGCAAAATATGTTAACGAGAATGTCGGCCAATCTATTTTTTGTGCATTTCATTCATTGCCATTTTTTCCCGACCTATTTAAATGCAATTTGGGTCCACTTATTTCTTAATTTAAAAGAAATGCCGTTTAGCATTTGGTTGAGGTTTCAGACTTGTCTTAAAATATATTTCCTTTTCAGCAATGTGGTTGAGAAGTGTGTTACCCATGCCTCTCGTGCTGAACGTGCTTTACTGATTGATGAGGTCTGCTGTCAGAACGATGGTCCCCACAGTGCCTTATATACAATGATGAAAGACCAATATGCCAACTATGTGGTTCAGAAGATGATTGATGTGGCGGAACCTGCTCAGCGTAAAATTATTATGCATAAGGTATGTTTTTTCAATAAATTGGGACTATTGAAATCAACTGTCAGCTGATGATGATAATTCTTACGCTTGGTATAGCGCCTTTCACTGCAGGAGGATGTTACAAAGGATGTGGGTGAACGAAACAGCCAATTTGCTCTCAGCAATGTCCCACAAAGAGCCGAAAAATGAATGACCAATTTTATTTGAGGGATTGTTGGCCAGAACACTGGGAGTAATTCCATTCTTTTTTCAAATAATGGGATCTTTAATATCCACCTAAACAGGTAGACGTGGCTTCGGTTTAACATCTCCGAAATGCACCAACAACTTGCTTTTATAAAGCACCCTTCACGAGAGTAACATCTCAGAGTGTTTAACAGGCAGCATCTCCAATGCAGCACACCCCCCAGCACTGCTTAGATTATGAGTCCTGACATGGGGACTCACAACCTTCTGACTCAGAGGCAAGAGAGGCTACCAATTGAGCCAGGCTGACATACAGCTTGACTTGCACGTCATCATTTTAAAAATTCAGAACAAACCAGTGAAGTAGTAAAATAACTTTTTTTTCATAGAGCCTCATCTTGTTGAAATGTCTCAAAATGATTCACAATTCAATTTTGTGAGAGCACAACAGCCATTTTCAAAAGTGAGTTTCCATAAACATCTAATAGGTGAATCATCAATTAATCTGAAAAACTGAAAACCATTTGAATAGTGCCACTTTAACTTGATGGGCCCTCATTTTAACATGTGACAATGCACTGCTTGCTCCAATCGATTGTAGCGTCTGACCAGGCTTGAACTCAAAGTTAATGTAGGACTTGAATCAGTACCTTACCCAGCGACTAGAATGCTACCAGGTGATAGACCAAGCTCTGAATTACATTGAATATGTGTTACTACAGAAAAGATGCTTCTAAAATGTATATGTAAGATCAGTTATACTGTCTGTCTGAACTGTTATAATTGCATGAATTTAATTAATCTGATGAATACTAAATTGTTAGACTAAATAAAAGCCTTGCATCATCACTGAGAAGTTGTAGGTACCCAAACTAAAAAATGGGATTTGATTTTTCTAACCCTGCATCCCTCTGTTTTATTTACCATTTTGAGCCTTTAATACTATATCTGTAATGCATGTGTGTATCTATAAGGCCCTCAGATCATATTGGTTACAGAAGTTTCAAAGACAAGTTACAAATTTGCTTTTCTATGCAGATCCGACCTCATATTACCACCCTGCGAAAATACACTTACGGAAAACACATCTTGGCTAAACTGGAGAAGTATTACATGAAGAACAACACTGATCTGGGGCCAATTGGAGGACCACCAAATGGGATGTTGTAAATTAATTGGTTCACCCAAAAGATATGGAAAACTGCGCTTCTTAAATGTTGAATGCGCCAAATGTGAAAGAAAAAATCATGAAAACACAACTTAACTTTTAATGAATACTAGCTTTTTTTTCTTTTGTTGGTTGTGACTTTTGTATGTATTAAAATGATTGATACACTTTAACTTGTAATTGCTTTTAGTATTTGCATTTGTTTAAGGAACTTTAGCTAGGGGTTTATCAGAAACCTGCTGAGTAAAAAACAGAATACATGGATTTTATGTAATTGTATCAAACTAGCATTTGTGTATTTTGTAAATTTAACCTTGTAAGATGTTGGGTATTATTTGGTAGATTAGAAGGAATATTCAGTATTCTGTAGATTAACCGCCTTGCATTCTGATATCTCCTCTAGGTATTTCTTGCACAAAATAAATTTCTAGGGCTCAGTAAATCCGTTTAAAATCTTTAAAATCCGACTACTTAAACATTAAAACTGGAACCAAATCATGGAAAAAGCAATGTAAAGTTAAGTTGTGTTTCAGCACAAACTTTTTAACACCATTGTTTATATGGCAAACAGACAGAACAGTTATCTAACAGTTTGGGTCTGTTGAAATAATGAGATGTAATTCAGGGAAGTGTTTAAAATGACAGGCTGATCTGTAATGTAACTCCTGATGTTTACTGTGGCGATGTCAATACTCAATAGGTTTTATTTTTTCAGGTAAACACTGCCCTGCTTTTTTAAATATTTTGGTGATGTATAGAAGTGTTGTACATACATAAATATTTAACCAATGCACAATATGGCAGTAAGGAATCACGATAGTACTTTCATGCCTAAATTGAATTGTCTGGAAAGTTGAGAAGTTCCTTTTGTTAGATTTAGATTTTCAGTCCCATTTTGGAATGGGAAACAAGTGGGGATTTGTATTTTTGAATACCTAATGTAAGAAAGTTTGTGAAGGTGTGGTTTTATTTTTCTTTCTCAAGTTAGAGAGTCTTGGGCAGATTTTGAAATAAAGGGGCCATTGAAGGGTGAGCTAGGTGGCTCCCCAAAATGCATGCAAAAAATTGAAATAGTCTTTCAGTTTTGCTTCTTTATAAATATGTAGTGTATAAGTGTAGACTTTGCAAATGATAGGTGTAAGTTTACAGTTTGAAAAAAATAAAATTTATTGTTTCAGTGTTAATCACAGGCTTGGCTAACTTAGTAGTAATGCATAAATTGGTTGTACAGTTGTACATTTGTAAACCTGATGCTGTAAATGTTACAATGTCTTTTACCCTTCGGAGAGCAAACTTTGCAGTTTAGTGTATATTCACTCCCCACTCTCGTGCCCTGGCATAGTGTTGTATAATGTAAATTTATTTGAATCAAGAGTGATTTTTTTAAATTGTACCTTTATATGGCTTTGAAAATGAACCTGCTTTCTTTTTATCTATTGTTAGAACAGTAGTATTTGTTTATAATCGTAGCTGTTCAGATTCTGTTAATATGGTAATTTTTGAAAATTTTACAATTATAATGTTTCCACGTATGAGTAAAGTTGTGCATAGTAAATATTTGAAAGGTTGGACAGAGCCATCTAGTTACCATGGAAACCAAATGTTCTTTCCATCTCTTAAGGGTGACATGATCCTTTTTGTACAGAAGAGTACTGTATTTTGGAATTGTCTACTTACATGTAAGTGAAAGTCTGTATGATACTATCAATTTTTCATTTGAACATATGAGGTTGTAACACTACATATAGACGATGTACATTTACAGGAGGCCTTATGTACATTTCCTGATGACATTTTGCAGGCAGAATTGTGACCATATGTGTATAATTAACAGTCCTTTGTATCCTTTGCCTCGGTAAATATTTTGAAACATGCTCTGTATATTCAGTTTCTGAAAGATTAAAAGATTGTCCTTTGTATTTGGTGACCTTTAAAAGTCAGTATTTTGTATAAATGGAATGGCTTAGTGGATTTGGAACAATCTGAAGTTACTTATCTTGAAGCCCTTGAATGTGATGTCCTTAGCATTGACAAGATAAACAGTTGTGTTTATTAGGGCTGTGCAGTCAATTTTTTTTAAAATCGCCAAAACCTTCAATGGATTTAAAAAAAAAGTACTGTTCAGTTTTAAATGCTAAATCTTTAATTTTTTTGTGATTTTTTTTTACAATTTTCATTTGACCTGTCTTACAACAAAAACTATCCGTTTTCCATTTCATATTGTTAAAAGTTTTTCTGGGGCATTTCACTTGTAATTTAAGATGCTATGCAGTACTTAGCTTCTAAAGGAGCTGCAAAAAGTTCTTCATCAGGAAAGATCATGTTGGCCATGTCGATCGGCTGTCAGCTTACTAGAGTAAATCAAGCCAGTTGGTTTTACATCAGTTGGCACAGCCCTAGTTTCCATGGCAACTATTTATTTGCTGTGTAAAGGAGGTCACTTTGTGACGTGCTCTGGTTTTGATTTGAAAACCAGGAGTCTAGGTGAAAATGCAGATCAAAAATGTTTAATATTAGTATCAATGATAAATTGAACAAAACCACTAAACGTTTTGCTAACATTTCCTTAAACATGGATTGTTGATGGACCATTTTTATCTTGTGTTTGATCAGGTCTGCCACCTGGCTCCTTGGCAGTTCAGATGGAGTAATGTTATATTCACTTATTTGTATATGCTGTATAAAAAAAAGAAAAAAAATGTGAATAACGTTGTATGAAATAAACCTGTTTGTGTTTTCTGTAGGAAAAATATGACTTATGATTCTTTTTGCGAATTAGCAAAATTAGCCACTTTCTAAGGATTAATGGGAATTAGTGGAGTCCTGCAGCTCAGTGGTTAGAGAACTCGCCTCGCAAGTGAAAGACGTGGTTCTATTCCCAGCAGGGCAAAACGTTGGGCAAATTTCCTTTCCTCCACACGCCTCTGTTTACCTAGCTGCAAGTAGGAACCCGGTTGTTAGTCGATTGGCGGATCTCTTTTCCGGGGGTAATAATTCCTTTTTTTAAAAAAAAATTGGTCACTTCAATCCTCGTCTGTTTGTGGGACACTGCTGTGTGCAATTGGCTGCTGCGTTTCGCCCAAAAAATTATATTCAATTCACTTTACAGTTTATTCTGTCAGTGCTTTGAGATGTCTCAAAGATGTGATAAGGCAGTATATCAAATGCAAGGATTATTATTTCCATAACTATAGATGACCCCTTAACAAAATTAAGAAAAAACAAATTAGTTATAAAAATTAGCTTAATGGGGTGGGTTGGCAGACTTCCATCAAATATGTTTTACCTCAACCTTGGTGCTCAAGGTACAGTCTATTTTCACCAACCTAATACGTCCAACATAGGCAGTTCAGAAGTGGTTGTGGTTATTAATAACAATAATCCTTGAATTTGATATAGTGCACTCGTCCTTGAGGCATCTCAAAGAGCTTCACAGAATATATTGTAAAGTGCAATGACTTGTTGATGAAATGCAAACAGTGGATATCTTAGTTGAGATTATCTGATTTAATAGAAACAATAAATATGATTATAAGACAAATTTTGCTAAAATGTAAACTGGGTATGTTTATTGTCCTTTTTTAATTAGTTTAATAGAATTGCTCGATAGAATTGTAACACATTTGAAAGGTCAAGGAGGCCAAAGGCCTCTTATGTAACAAGAATTCAATTTTCATTGTTATGCAAGCAAAATAGTTTAGGAAAGGTGGATTCTTTCAACCCCATTGATCTTTCTAACCCAGGGAATCAGCGTCTGTGGGTGATTGGTGCAATAACTAGTGTTTGCCATGGCCAAGTATAAGATCTTCCTCAAACTAAGTCGTCCAAGAAGGTGGCTACCACTGTGATATTTGGAGACTGAAGAATAACTTAAGAAATCTAACAAGGGCAGGGTCACTCAACGGCTTACATGATGTAAGCTTTTCTGTTCAATGGCTTTTACATTGGTGTTTACGCTCATGGCAATTATTCACAGAACTGCGAAACCTCAAAACCTTGGCCTGGGACAACTCGTCAGCATTAGCTAACCTCTTGACAACTTATAACAACACCTTACAACGAGGCCCACCTCGAGACGCATCTCTTGACAGCATATCGGTCAACTTTCTCCGCCCCACCCCTTCAACTGCCAGCTCGGGCAGTCAGCAAGCAGTATGGAGTGATTTAATAATAATCCCTACATTATTAAATAATAAACCCTCTGCTTTACCCCTTCCCCATCTTCAGGTTGCACCTGAAGACCTTCCTATTCAACTGTGCCTAAGGTCTCCTCTCCTCCCCTGGCTCAGCATCGTGCTTCACCACTGTCGAGCACTCTGGGACGCTACCCTGCGTGAGGGGTGCTACATAAGTACAAGTTGTTGGTAACATTTGATATAGCGCCTTATCACGTCTTCCAGACGTCTCAAAGCACTTGACAGAATATACTGTAAAGTGAATTGACTATTTTGTGGGAGAAACGCGGCAGCCAATTGCGCACAGCAGTGTCCCACAAACAGTCGTGGATTGAGTACCCAAGTTATCATTTTTATTTTGAAGGGATTATTACCCTCAGAAAAGCAATCTGCCGATCAAGTTTGTATTTACTGCTAGGTAAACAGCCGTGTGGAAAAAGGAAACTTGCCCAACGTTTTGCCCTGGGCGGATCCTCTCACTTGTGAGGCAAGGGCTCTAACCACTAAGAGGACTCCACAGATAAGAGATCCTCTTGGCATGAAAGACATTATATAAATGAAGATTGGATTGCTCAACTGACAATTCAAGAGCATGAAGGTCATAATTTAGAGCAATGTTCTCTCACTATTAGTTGGCACAAATCAGATGCCAGTGTTAATGATGGAAATATAGATGCTTGACAAAAGAATGCTAAAAGGTGTAGAGCAGAAGAGTGGGAATAGATGATTTGTGTTAAGAATACCAGTACAGTGGCCTATTTATGTTCCAAAATGTTGTGATTCTATTATCCTTTAGTGATTTTGAAGCACTCTTGGGTCCTCTACAATTCCTGGGAAAAATAATTAGGTCTAGCCTCATGACTATTATCCATCATCCCTGATATGTTTATGAAACTGAATAAGTTAAATTGGTAACTTAGTATATTTTTAATATTCTGATAAATTCAGTTGAATTATTTGTAGATGGTTACAATAAATTAGACTGAAATTTGATTGGAATTTGATGGATTAGACTGCTAAGACTAGAAGTGAGATCAGAAAACATTTCCTCCAAGGTTGAGAAAATATGGAAGGAAGCAGATGGATACTTGAGAAGTAAGGGCATCAATAAGTGGCTTGGAGACTAGATAGGTCAAACATCTGTCAAACTGTCAGAACAGGCTTAATAAGATGAATGGTCTCCTATTCCTACGAATACATAGACCATTTTCTGAGATATAGAAAACCTTGTGCAATGCAGTTGCAATGTTTCATATGTTGTGGTGAAAATATGAAATGTACATTCAAAGATCATGGAGGATAATTATGAAGTAATTCAGCTACAATATTTAAATTCTCCACAAGATGTCAGTGTACTTACGTATTTAGAATCTTAACAGATTTTATATACCAAATAAAATATTGGAACTATACATAACACAAAATTAATTTCTCTTTGACATGTGTTTAATATTACTCAAAACACACATCAGAATGTCTCACTAGTAATTACCAAGTGTAGTGCCTATTTTAGAAGGTAAAAGTGTCAGCACAGTCCCCCAAGCAGGAATGAGGCGAATGCCCAATTAACACCAAATTATCCTTATATACTACCTTTCACACCAGGATGATGTCCCAAAGCGCTGAACAGTCAAGGATTTCCACCCAAGCTGCATACCGGAATCAAGGGGAGGAGGCCATTGAGGTGGGGTTGAAAAGATGACCGAAGATGCAATCAAAGAGGAAGCTCTTGAGATGGACTTTAAATGAGGCAAGGGAAGGCTAGATATGATAGAGTTCTTCAAACTAGCACAGTGGTTAGAGCACTCGCCTCACAAGCGAGAGACCTGAGTTTGACTCCTGGCAGAGCGAAACCTTGGGCAAGTTTCCTTACTCCACACACCTGATAATAATCCCTCCAGAAAAGAAAAACAATAATAAAAATTGGTCACTCAATCCATAACTGTTTGTGGGACACTGCTGTGAGCAATTGGCTGCCACTTTTTGCCCGCAAAATATACAGTCAATTCACTTTACAGTGTATTCTGTGAAGCGTTTGAGACGTCTCAAAGACGTGAAAAACGCTATATCAAATGCAAGGATTATCATTATATTATTAAAAACACAGAGGAGATCTCAGAGCTATAAGATAGAATCCAAGAAAGTCTATGACACAGAAGAAGACCAATTGGCCCATTAGGTCTTTGCTGATTTTATCACCCTTTCTGGTCTAAATTTAGTGACTATCCTCCACGAGAGGGGATAGGGGGTTTAAGCGGGGTGTCCTTGGAGCTGATCTGGCACCAAGGTGACTTGCTTTGCAACGGAATGGCGGAATGACGGTCTTGGCAGTCCGGTTCCTCAGCCAGGCATGTCTGCTGTGGTGCAAGCCATTGCTGACAGCAGCACAGCCAGCCTGGCTCAAGGGCAGGACTTGCAAGGGCAGACCGGTCACTGGGGGCAGGGATTCATCCTACTCTGCTCCCAACCCCGCGAGGCAAAGCCCTAATGGGTATGATCAAATGGGCAGATGGGTCTTCTGCATCTAAACCAATCTTGTGATCTTGTGAGATTTCTGCTTTGATCCAATTAACTTGCCTTTTCCCTGTAAAGTACTTAACAGAATAAAGCGAAGAAATGCGAAACAATAATTTCTGTTACATAAAAAGCACAAGAACAAGAGGGTCTGAGGGATAGGACTGGTACCAGGAATTGCCTTTATACAAAGGATGCTCAACAGCTGGAGCAAGTTGCCATAGGGTGGTTGAGTGCAGAACACTGGACTCATTTAAGAATCAGCTTGATGCTGTAAATGAAGATGGTATGGATAGTGTTTTGGTCAACTGAGCCCAAGGGCCTTTTTAACTGGAACTAAGCTTGTTAATATTTGAACACAAGACAAGCATGATTCTTGCTGAACACTTTATAATAATAATATTTGCATTTGATATAGCGCTTTTCACATCTTCTCGACGTCTCAAAGCGCTTCACAGAATAGACTGTAAAGTGAGTTGACCGTATGTTTGTGGGCGAAACCCGGCAGCCAATTGCACACAGCAGTGTCCCACAAACAGTCATGGATTGAAAATGACTAATTTATTATTGTTTTGTTTTGGAGGGATTATTATTAGGCATGTGGAGTAAGGAAACTTGTCCAAGGTTTCGTCCTGTCTGGAATTGAACCCAGGTCTCTTGTTTGCAAGGCAACTGCTCTAACCACTGAGCTACAGGACTCCACGGAACTGGGGCATGTTGGGGGGAGAGACTTTTAAGGACTAACAGAGAGGGGGGAGACAGGGCAAGGAAGACAAAGGAGAAAATGGGGTAGAGGACAGGGGATGATGGGTTAAAGAGGTGTTAATGATGGAAACAATGAAGAGGATTGCAACAAAACAGGAGAATAGAGGTGTTAATCATCCCAAACAAAGTGGGGAAATTGAAACAAAATAGACAGACCGGAGAGAGAAAATGTGTGTCTGGGACCCAGATGATGTGGTAATGAACACCAGAGGAGGGAGAATGTGAGCTGTTATGGTCTGAAATTATTGAAATTAATATTGAGGTCAGAGGGCTGTAAAGTCCCCGGCAGATAAATG